TCGGAACTGGATCTGTCCAAACCAAATCGCTTCGTGAGATTGGCGAACAAGCTGCCGCTGGGTCGATCTGGAATGGGGGCTGGAGGCACCGCATGCGCCTCGGCCGGAGCAACCTTGTTATTGTTAGGTGATTCGGGGAATAATCCCGGCATTGAATTCTGTCTCTGCTCCTCAGGTTCGTCGGCTTCGGTACGCTGAGCATGAGCCGCTTCCCAGGCGGCCTCCTTCTCCTGCAGAACACGCCGTTCCTCTTCCAGCTGTTTCTGTCGCTTATCCTCAGCTATCTGCGCTTCACGGGCCTTCTGCCTGAGAATGCGTTCTACATTGTAACCACGAGCTCGCAGCTCCAGAAGATCCGTCTTCAGGAGCATTTCCAAAGTCAGAGTTGAGTGGAGCTTCGGGCGCCTTAAAAGCAAATGGACGAGCGACTGGCTGATCTCATACAGGTCGAGTTTACCAGGACAAATGCACAGACCCATGTTCGTGGACAGTCGGGCGACAATGGCGTTTCGTTTTTGGGTGTGAGACACACGTCGACCTTTGAGAGAACGCGTCAAGGTGATCGAGTTCACCACCTGCACGTTGAACCAATCCTCCAAAGAACGAGCCCTGGGGTTGATTGCATCCGAGGGCTGGTCATGCAGGAAGAGCCGCGTCCGTTCAAGGATCACCTTCTTTAGTTTGACTCCTTGGGTCTGATCAGTGGCCACGCCACCAAAGCGGGCCTGTTCTTCCACAAGGCTGCTTAGCGGGACGGCTCCAAGAGCAGTATAGAAGTTTTCCAAGATTTCCTCCTGTGGGGCAGCCGGGATGTGCTCTTTGAAGAGGTTGAAGCTTTGGAAGTCATCAACCACGACAATGTCCTTGGCGGCAGTCAAGTTCCATTCCCTGATATCCAGATCGTCTTCCAGAAGCTCCGGATCAGCCGACTTGTCGTTGCCACCCTGCTTTTGAGGTGGGATATCTCGGCTAGCCATAAGAAAGGCCGCTCTCTTCATCTCGCTGAACAACTCCCTGTCCTTCTTGAGAACTGACATATGCTCTGCAAGTGTCCTCAAAAGCATAAGATACTTCTCTGAACTCTGGAATGCCGCAGAGATGCGAGCTGGTTCTTTCACCAGCATCCTTGCAATCTCGGTCTTGGTGGGCTCCTGTTTCGAGCCGACAGCCATCAGGAAAAGGTTGGCTTCTTGACCAAAGTCCACAAAGTCAAAGATGCCTTTGTAGTCCTCTCCATCTCCAAGATAACAGAGCCTTGGGGCCACAAGGCGAGTTCGAGAACCTTTCTCTGACCGTTGACTTGTGGGTATTGGGATAATCGCTGCATTGCTGACCCGCTCCGTATCAGCGGGACTGAGATCTGTAGCCCTGCTCGCTAGATATTTGAACATCACGCGAGCATCTTTTTGGGTGGTGGGAGGATGGCGAATTAGAACCTGGAGGCAGTCTGCCATAGGGGGATGGGCTTTGACGCCCAGCTTGGACGCGTGCGGGTGCAGATGTTTCCGGAGGATATCAAAGCCAAACAATGCAGCACCTTCGTCCGTGAAGCATTTTCGTGGTATGCTAAGTTTCTCCTTCCCCTCGATAGGCAGGAAAGGGATGGTGACTGCACTGGCGTCAAACGAAGCATAGCCGTTCGTGTAATACTCGTTGATGAAGTATGACAGGGCTTCGCCATGACGACCATCCTTCTCGGCATGATCTGTTGTCATGAGGCGTACGAGTTCGGAACCTGACGGGTAGCTCCTCAAGCCCATCATCTTCAGAAATTGGCCTTCTTTGCTGCCACTTGTGTATATACCAGGCCATTCAATCACAGGCAGCCCGAGGCTCCGAAGAGAGTCTTTCGGCTCATAAAGCTCACAGATTTTGTATCGGGTATCTTGGTTCTCGGCGGTGCAAATACTTGTATTCTTCAGTCGGTGAATATCATTGGCAGGAATGTCGTCGCTGACCGAGGTGAGGTATCGTATGAGATCAACATGGTTCCATTTCCGTGATGGTGGTCCCTTGGTATCGTTAGAAGTGGGCGTGTTGATGAGGCGATCAAAGATCACACCCAGTTCTACGGTTTTGCGAACCCCAAGGGCTACCAAAAACTTCTCCTTGACACTATTCAGACCATGCACGACAGGCAGGTCGTCAAAAAGACGCACAGAAGCAAAGTATGTCTGCTGCGGCTGCTTCATTCCCAGCTTAGTCGGTATAACGGTCTCTTGCAATGTATTGACAACCGTCTGCTTCGAAGACTGGCTCAGATTGTCCCACTGCCGTGACAACACGGGCAAAACCTGTCCAGCAAAAGATGCCGTCTGAGTGATATCTTGATCAGCTGAAAGGATGTTGCGGTTTCCAGCATTTTTAATCAGCCAGCGAAGCCAAGGAACAATTTGTAGTTCGGTCCAACCGAGTGCCTCGAGCTCTTGTTTGCTAATCGACTTTGTAAAATGGAAAGGTACGACGTTTGAAGGCATAGGCAAGTCTGCCGGAATGCGCTGTGGGTTCAAGAAGCTGGTGACGTCTGCGAATATCACCAATCTTGTTGGGTGACCTTCTTTGTCTTCCTCGTTCGCCACCGCAACACGTAAAAGACTCTGGACAGACATCCCATCAAGCTGTCCGGTGACAGTCTTACGGCCCAGCCACGACAGGAATTCAACAACCTGGTTTGAACGGAGAGTACTGGACTCGAGCTCACGTTTGATATCAGACACCGTTATTTCCGTGACCAATCCAAAATCTGTCAGTCGCTTAACAAAATCCTTCGCCTTGAGCACAAACTCATCTGGCAAGGCTGGAATGGAGTCCATGAAGCTGAGATCTTTGGGCGCTAGTCGTGTCTGATGGCTGGGAATCACACCGCATGTGGAGAGAACTTCGATGGATGCATTTTTGTTGCACATCCAGAATGCATCCTCAATTGTCTGTCCCAATGTAGAAGATGGGGTAGATTCACGGAATGCGAACTGATTGGCAGTATGGATGGCCTCGGGAAGTACATCAACAATATCGTCCTTCCGGATTTTTGACTTGGAAGACAGCTTAGACTTGATCGCGGCCATTTCTGCAGACCAAGCAATGCGGCAGACAATACCGACTGCCCGCAACATTTCCAGGTTCCACTTGCTGATATATCGCGTGTTGAGGTCGATACTCTCCCGCTCGACGGTTGGGATAACGGAGGGCGCGGAGACATGAGCGTTCAGTCCGGTGGTCTGTTGAGTAGGAAAGCCAATAAAGACCTTTCCAGCCTTTGAAGGCAGGATTGAGGCGAGAATCTCAGACTGCGACGATAATGCGTCCGTCGCGATGCTGGCATCATAGGAAGGAGTCAAGATAGCAATGGTTGCTCTCTTCGGTGGGGGCTTGCGCGTGGCTCTTTCCAGCTCCTTGCTCAGCGAGTTGCTGATGGAGGGTTGAATAGAGGCAGTGTTGATATGCAGAAATACCGACGCCGTCATCATCGAGGTCATACTTCCCGTGTCATCCTGTCGCTCCGGCTTCTCGACCTGTGATGGTTTCTCCGGTCCAACCTGATTCGTGAATTTCGAGAAAAAGCTACGCAGAGAGCTTGTCGTGTCGCGGAGGTTCTCAAGTCGGAACACACTCGCATGAGGGTTCCACTCAACAATTCGCATCCAGGAAGCATCGACTTGCGCAATCTCACGAGTGATTCCAGCAATCTTCATCAAGCCTTCAGCGGTCTTCGTTTCGATATCTCTGGGAATGGCGACATTGACGCTGGGTGCCGTCTTTTTCGATAATCGCAAAAGGTTCCAATCATCCAGCCACAGCTCGATCTCTTGGAGACTGACAAAGGTAAGACTGCTCGACAAGAATTGGCACAGCTGCATCAACGATGGGACGGGAGAGGAATCGTTGCGATAATCCAAGACGAAAGTGGTGTCCTGGCTGGCCGCTTCGCCCAAGTCTAACCGACGGGTAAAGAGCGCATTTCCTTTCCAGTAGAAGGCCATGGCCTGCTTTCCGGACGATACAAATGGCTCTTCACAATCATCAAAGACACTATAAAAACCAACGCCAAACGCGCCGATCTTCGTCTCATCGGGGTTACCGTCTGCGATGCGCTTCAATCTTGCCCAGTCCTTTTCACTGAATGGAAGACCATTGTTGGATACTAAAAGGCGGCGGAGGGTGTGGTTGGCTATTGTGTGCTTCAGGAGGGCTGTCGGGTCGGTTGATGAGGGCGAAGGCACCGTAGTAGATGGGAGGGTCTCGAACTTGATCGTCACCTTGGTGGCGTTAGCATCGGCGGCATTCTGGATCATCTCGCGCAGAACGGTCCTGTCCGAGTAGTTAGCATCATTCTCGCAATCGCGCGCAGGTCTTAAGCTTACCATTTCCCTGAATAGCGAGCCAGGACCTTGGAGATGAGACCTCGGGTATCGACCGTCACAGCTTCCTCGTCGGCGCCCGAGCCCATCGTCCGCGCCTTGAGCGCGTTAAAGTCCACATTCATCGCCATGTTGTCTCGCTGGATTGCCACCAACCCAGTCGTCTATTGTTGGAAATGGAGCATGGATGTAGATCTCGATGGTCTGTGTCGCGTAGCAGACGGCAGGAGATAAAAATGCTGTCCAAACCAGGCCTGCTGAGATAACAAAAAGATCGATAAACAAACGAATGAATGACTGACTGACTGAGGAAGAAGAAGTAAACGATGGCGGCGAACCTGGAGCCTTAACTGGTTATCTTATCGCCGCTTATGTCAGAGGCCCCGTGACTGGCAGCTCCCCGCCCGGGATTATTGATGCGCTTAGGTAAGGTATTTTGTTTCCATCTCCAATTCAACTCAGGAGGATCGAAGTGTATGAGTGTTTCTGCCTCACGGTCTCTTGGTGCGGTTTGCTGTCTGCGTCAATTGTCTCCTATGCCGTCTTCTCTCGACGTATGACGCCTGCAAGCTTGCCGACTTCTTGTGGGTGCGGGCTTGAGCATCTCGCCAATCGCCGGTCCGATCTCGTGTCCTCGACAGGATGGGTGTCGACCCCCTGTCCCCGGTTGCGCCTGTGCGCCTCAGGGCACTCCTCCTTCCGATAGGGAGAATCAAGCGCTCCCGTTTTCTGAGCTTCGCCGCCAGACTCCAGGCCGAAAATGTGGTCCGATTAGGGGACATTAGCCCTGATGCGCGGCCAAATCGAAGTACGCAACAATCGCAGTCGCAGGGTGTGTCCGATGCTAACAGCCTCCTTATTCAGATATGTTCTCGCCGCTCGCATTTCCTACCGGGCTGATCCTTTACGACCTTTCGTACTCGGTTCCTCCGACGTCGCATCTTGAACTATTTCCGTTTGAACTTTTTCGAGAACCACTGGTGATCCTCACAATAGCGGATGGAACTGAGCTCGCTCCAAGCTCGACTGGGGAGAACAAGGACAAGCACCCGACGCCCGACGGCCTGGATTCACTGCTGGAAGCGCTAGAGGTTGTCAAGGAGAGGAATCCGCGCGCGTTGGTCCATCAAATACTGGTTTTCGATCATGAAGGCGTGGAAAAGCTCACGAACGGACCGGATAATGTCCTCTGGGTCCCGCCACCACAGGCATCCAAAGCCACCACGATGAAGACGGCGCTTTGTGATATTACCTCTGTCTTGCTCTCTGAACTGGATGAATTTGCGAAGACAATCCAGAACATCCCATCCATTGAGTCTCCCAAATCTTCTTCCTGGGGTCCACACCGGAATCCAGAGCAACGGCCGCGAGCTGTGGACCGGCTGCTTCATCGGATGACCTCACCTGCGCAAATGCCCACCGATCCTAGTGCTGCACCCGAGACTCCATTGAGTTCCAACGCCAGTTCTCCGGCCCCCAGTGATCATGAAACGCCCATAACGTTTGACGAAATCCATCGATCCATTAATCTCTCTAGTCGCACGAATTCTATTAGCAGAACTTCATCTGTGCATTCGCCCAAGGAGCACAGTCGGGACCGCATGTCGGTGAGCGGCGTAAGTGCAACCGACAGGACCAAGAACCGCATCAAGGGCCGTGCCGGTGTTGTCGTTGGGTCTCTTTTCCTGCTGGCAGGAAGGTGGCCAGATGCCCTCAAGGAGCTGGTTGAAGCGGCAAACAACGCTAGGGCGAGCAGCGATTATGTGTGGCATGGCAAAGCTCTCGAGACAATTCTTCTTACTTTGCTGATGTTCGGCTGGGCCGGGATGGACTTTCAGGTACATTATCTTGGCTTCATGATGATATAGCAACTTACTGACTGAGTTTAGATTCCATCTATCCTCTATCCAACAGCCGAGAAGTCTTCCAAATCGCATCGAGATTCTAATCCACCACCCGGGGCTAGTAACCGTGCCGTGTCTCTTCAAAACCTGGCCAACCTGCTCCCAGACCTCACAAACACCATCTTGAATCTTTACAACCGTGCTGCAAATATTACAGAGGAGCCTCTCCCCCAGCTCGTGTTCTCCGAGACAGTTATCCGCTTAGCAAGGCTATTGGTAGCGTGCCGCATTCGTGATGGAGCTCTTGACGACAACGCTCTGAAACATATTGTGATGAACGATCTTTTGACACCATTGCATCAGCCAGAACTCCCTCGCGGGACAGTTGTGCCTCGAAAATCCGAGATTGCCAATTTCTTGTTCCGAGCTCTGCCGCTCTCTCCTGGCTCGGACCTACCCGCGACTGATGCCGTGCCTATCATAGTCGGTGTCGTCTCCGTCTTGAATACTCTTGGTCTCCCAAGGAAAAAGGCTTTCGTCTTGCGCGAACTTCTCTCGCTAATAGTACCAAGTCTTGTTCAGGCAAGGAAAATTGGAGCTGCGGAGGCCGGCATTCATCCAGCTGCTGGGCTAGCGTCTCTAAGCGATACCGCGTTCGACGTCAATGCTCTGGATGTCGGGCCTGGAAACATGGAGACAAGTGTGCGCCTTCTCCTTGCCTCGGTAGGCGAGATATACGGAGTTCAACCTTCGGCGTTTTACGAGTGGAAGAAAAGAGAGAGTCAATCCTTCAACGCCGAGGGATCCTCTGACTGTCCGGAATACGACTCGATTGATGCTATTGCTGAGAGATCATTTCGGCATGTCGTGTTGGATCGATATGGCGATCTGAACTTGAAGATTGATGTGCTCAAAGCGTGCATCAACTGCTGTGAAGCACTCCCTGACTTCAACGGCGTTCTTCGTTTCACTGTCGAGCTTCTTCAAACGGTCCGAGGTCAACTTATGCTCGGTGAATCTTATCAAGCACCGCCTTATCTACCAGTCGACGACCAAGTTCGTCTTTCAAACAACATCAAGCGCACGGTGGCGGCTGCGAGCAGGCTTGGTGCCTCCGACGTGGTGGCTGAATACTGGGATGATTTCCTTGTTCGCGATGTCCAATTGCTGGCCCTTCCGGATAACAAACGGCCTGTCCGACGGTCCAGGACTCAATTGGATGCGGTCACGACGGACTCCGAAAAGGTTAAGAAAGATCCATTCTTATACAACCCGTTTGCAAAGCCCAGCAGCAAGGCGATCGAGACCCTTGCTGTGGCGGGTGAACATGCATCATTCCGAGTGACTCTTCAGAACCCCTACGATTTTGAGGTTGAGATCGAGTATATGCGTCTTGAGAGTGAGGGTGTGTCTTTTGATGCCGTGGCCGAACAAATCGTTCTTTCTCCTCTTTCTCTACAAGAGATCACTGTCCTTGGTATCGCGCAAGAGAAGGGTGACCTCAACATCACAGGATGCACGGTGAAGGTACGGCACTGCCGCGCCAGAAAATTTCCCATCTTCAAGACCATTTGGAAGCCCGAGCCTGAGGTCAAATTTAAGCGCATCGGCTTGGAATCGAAAAAACCATTGACCGAGCGCCCACTCTCGTGGAGTTCGACGACATCAAAGGACGGCAAGGTATCCACTAAGAAGGGTCCCGAAGCGGCAACCTGCCAAGTCAAGGTGATTGGCAAGCAGCCGTCGCTTGTGATTGAGTCATTGTCGCTATCGCAATCGGCGATGATGGTTCTGGAAGGAGAGGTCAGGTCCTTCACCATCACTTTGCAAAACACATCATCCTGCCCTCTTGACTTTATCTTGTTTACCTTCCAAGATTCCACAACACGACAGCTGCAGTCCGCTCTCAACAACAAGGATTTGTTGCCGGTAGAGATATACGAGCTAGAGTTGAAGCTGGCAACCAGGCCAGCCCTGCAGTGGCGCCGTACGGGTCCATCGTCCGACGACCACTCCATCCCTCCAGGCCAAAAGGCCACTTTTACTGTCGATGTCCTTGGGAAGCCGGGCCTGCAAGACACGACCGTTCAGATCGACTATTCGTACGTTGACGCTGGCGAGGACAACACTCCGGATGTATTTTACACGCGGCAGCTATTTGTTCCACTAACTGTGACCGTGAATGCGAGTGTGGAAGTAGCACGCTGCGATATCTTGCCCTTCAGCGGTGATTTCGCCTGGCGAAACCATCTTCATGCCAACCCTGAGTCTGGATCTGCCTCCGCAACAACCAAGACAATCGCTGCCGTCGATGATGACCCATTCGCGAAAGTGCTTTCGCGTCTCGGTAAAGGGCCGTACGGACCTGATCACTGCGTTGTACTCCTCGATCTTCGAAACGCCTGGCCCAGCCCCCTGTCCGTCTGGTTGCGAGTCAGCGAGCAGTCCTTCCCCGATCCTTCGGCTGTGATAGCTTCCATGAAGGTCTCCGACGGCCAGCACTCTGTCGACGGAGATTTTCAGCCAGGTCAAGTGTATCGGTTCGTCCTCGTCCTGCCTCGCATTTACCTGGACAACCCGCACGCTGCTATTCCCGTCGTCAACACCGGCACACGTCGACAGTTTGTGGTCAGCGCTAACAAGCTCTCCTTTGAGGCTGAGGCCGCTTCCCGCGAGGCATTCTGGTTCCGCGAAGAACTCCTCAAGCGCCTCGTCGGTGGCTGGAAGGAACCCGCTTCCGGCCGTGAAGGCAGCATCGATCTACGCAACATCCGATTGAATCCTCGCATGGTCGAAGCCATGCGCCTCGAGGACGTGGAATTTACTTTCTCTATAACCTCGTCCGACTCCGACGCCTCGGTTACGCAGACCGGCCGCTCCCGCTTCCGCGCGAAGACAGACGATTTGCTGACTCTGAGCGTCTCGGTCCGCAACCGCTCTTCTCGCCCCATCCACCCCCTTCTTCGTCTCCAGCCCAGCCTCCGCAACCAACCCAACAACGTTGCCCTAGATCTCACCCGCCGTCTTGTCTGGACAGGTATGCTGCAGCAGTCCCTCCCCGTTCTGCAAAGCGGCGAGTCCACCACAGCCACCGTGGGGGTGACAGTGCTCAGTCGCGGGGAGTACGAGTTCGGCGCCAGCATTGAAGAGGCGCGGCTCCTTCGCTCGGCGGATGAGCAGGATGGGAAGGACAAGGATCACGCAGATTATCACCATTATGACGGCGGTGGTATCAAGGATACATTCGGCGCGGATGTTGTCCGGCGCAGACGGATCTGGCATGCGAAGGAGGCATGCGTGATTCATGCTTGGGATTGACTTTGTATACCGCATCCCTGTTTATAGCATAGACCCTTATTCCCATATCTGTGTTTATTTGCATACCTCATCATCCTTCATGTCTACGAGGGCATCTGTCTAATCTGATGGTTCTGTTATCCTGTAGGTTTTCCTCGCGGTGTGTATATCTTGGTTCTTTTCTCCATAAGCGTTGGGATTGTACAATGCCTGCGCTCTGAAATGGCTATCTCCCTGTATTATTCTTGTATATTGCGTCTTTTGATTTGTCTCGAGTGATCTTGGAACGAGATGATCAAGTGTGTTGGATAGGTCAATATAGTACTTGAATCAATTGGAAATTATATTGCACAACATGAAGAGGGAATACCGTTGTCCTGTGCCCGTCTCCGTGTATACGTAGGTAGCTTTATTGCTTTTGTTATACATCTGCCTGTCATCCGATCTGTTTCTCGAACAGCGAGAAAATTGGTCCTTCATAGCTGGTAGCCGCGTAGCCATGGCTTTGGGCATGTTGAACTGCAATGCCGTGGCAGAATTTGAGATCCACTGTGGTGATGCAGCGGGCCTGTCTGCAATGTGCAACTATGACTTGCAGTGGCGGAATGAAGATGCCGTCCTATAGTCTGGGCTGGTGTGGGCATGACGCTTTGCCGATGGGTCGTACGTGAAAATCATGACCTTCAGCGGGGAAGTAGATCACCCAGGCCCCATTGGAGTACTCTCAACCATCATTCCCTTCACCCAGATTGGCCGACTGCTCACGAGCACCCATAGCAGGCTGCGTCTCCCCCAAAGGAAAGCTAAGATGCTTCCAGTCCTCAATCTCCTCAATGATACACTTTAAACGATCCCTTATACTCTCCACAGCATAAGTGCCCAGAATCAGCCGCAGAGGCGGGTACGAGCAATGACCCAGCTGCCAGACCAGGTGCGCAGCCTTGACCGCGCTAGCAGGCTGCTTATCGCCCAGCCACATGAGCATGCGCCGCGCGTGCGCAGCGGGCGATGTAGGCGTGTTGTACGGCTCGCTGGGCGGCTTGACCAGGAAATGGCCGTATAGCGGTAATGGCGAGGAGAGATTGTGTTCGGACGGATTCGCCGCCATGGCAGACGGCGAGACCAAATTGGCGATATCGTCGCGCCGCATATGTCCCGGCTCGACGAGCGTGCCCTTGATATTAAAGCTGTCGACTTCGTAGAGCATGGACTCCATGAGTCCCTCCACCGCATACTTGCTCGCGCAGTAGGGTCCCAAGCCCGGAACGCCCAGCGCGCCGCTCGTCGAGCTGAAAACGAGGTACCGGCCCGCGCGGCGTTCCCTGAAATGCGGGAGTGATAATTGAATCATGTTCAGGGTGCCCATGAAATTTGTCTCGAACTGGTTCCGGATATCAAACTCGTCCTGGTCCTCGCATGCGCCGATCACGCCGTACCCGGAGCAATTGGCTATCACGTCGATGCGCCCGAACCGCGCGATGGTTTGCTCGATGACGCGCTGGACGGTGTCTCTCGCGCGAACGTCGCACAGAAGGCCCATACAGTTGACGTGCTCGTCTTCTAGCTCCTTCATGCATTCAGGACTGTTCTCGTAGGTTCGGCCGACTGCTGCGACGAGGTCGTTGTGCGAGAGCGCGGTTTTGACAAGTGAGCGGCCCATGTGGCCTGTTGCTCCGAAGACCTGGAAGAAGTCATTCTGATGTTAGATTTATCTTCGAATTGAGAGTTCGAGGCGGGGAGCGTAGGGTGGGAGCAAGCAAGCACGTACCAGCCATACGAGGGGTTTGGGTGGATTCTGAGGGCCCGGAGGGTCAGTCGTCGAGGGTAGATGCAGTCGCGGCTCGCGCGATGCTATCGGGGAAGAGGCGCCCTGTTTGGGGGGCGAGTTCTGGTCCATTGCGGGCGAAGGATGAGAGGTGAAGTGAAGAGGTGTGTAGGAAGGGGAGATTCTCCGCATTGGGCGGAATGGCTCGGGCCAGTGAATAGGAACAACAACACCAGAAAGACAATCCTTGAATTTACCCAGGATATAGTTACACCAGCTAACTGACTATTCACTATGCAAGCCCCCCAACTCCATCAATCAATCAATTACCGCCCTACCTCCCGTCGCAGCCGTCCGGCGGCTGTCGTAGGTTCAGGCTCTGGCCAACTACCAACGGCATCGCTAACTTCTTCCAAGAAGGTTGTGCTGTTGTGGATGGTGGTGCCTCCCAACACAACGCGGACACCCGGAGAGCTGGCGTTGACCTGCGCGACCATCTTGGCCTCTTCATATGTAACGCCGCCGACCATGAAGATGATGATGTCCTGTGGTTTGTCCCGCGTGTGTCCGCTACCCTCTAGGAAGGGGTACTGCAGTTCCTTCAGGCGACCCTTGATTAAGTTCTGAAGGGTGACCTCGAGTCGCGGGGAGTGCTGAGTGTAGACGTTCTCAACACCTTTCAATCCCTTGAAGCGGTCTCTCGCCCCAGAGAAGAATGAGGTCGATTCGAACAGATCAGAAAATCCACCTGCAACCGGTGGGGCCTGCAGAGAGTGGTGATACGCGAGCAGCTTCGAGATAATGTCCACGCGATTGGAGGGGACGCCGCCAGCGGTAACCAGCAACTCCAGAAGAGCTCCCAGAGAGTTGCTCTGCTGTTTCTCGTAGCGAAGGGCATACAGAGCCACTAAGCGCAGCTTGTTCTCTGCCGGTACGTTGGGCAATTGGATGATTCGCTGGAGGGACTGGAGAGAGGTCAGTTAAGCTTGGATGGCGTGGTCTTATATCAACATACCTTGAGATCGTTGGAGTGGTTCTCATTGCACGCCAGACTCTGCTCTAGCTCGCTGACGTCGAGGAGCGAGTCTTCGCCAACTCGTCGACTGAGCTCACCCACAAGAGTAACATGCTTGCTCACGTTGCCCGACAGTTTGCGGAATTCGGGATAATCCTCCACAAAGCGCTTCATGTCGGTGATAGACTCGATGTTCATGGTGCTCTGCGTTTTGGTCTGGTACTGCTCCACATATTCCTTGATATTCTGGCCGAGGTCACCAAAGTTCTGGTACATGTTCTTCTTGAAGAATGGATCTTGGTCCTGCGCGAGCACAATCTCTTGGAGCTCGGGCCGAATCTCGGGAACATCATGCAGGTCTACCCGCCCGTTGTGAATGCCGAGCATCTCATGAACCATCGCTTGATATGTCCACTGGGTGAGCAAGGGGGTAATCGGGTCGTCGCGCCGGTCCAGAACGAGCAAGATAGGAGGTGTATCGGTGCGCCGGAAATTAAATAGCTGCTCCTCCTGTGTCAAGTGGTATCGAACTTCTGTCGCCAGTTTACGGGCCAACAGACTGTTCTTCTCATAGCGGATCAACGGGTTCTTCTTTAGGGAGAGCAGCATGGCCAGCGTCCCCTCGGTGGCCCGCTGGAGGGCATCCGCGTTCCACAGATCTGGCGAATGGCTCCATAGTCGCTGTAGCGGAAACCCCATGTTTAAGGAACACAAGTCCGAGTTGACGACAATGAAGTCGGCGTATTGTTCCTGGACGAGGTGCACCACCTCATGGCTGTCGGCCTCCGCGAGTCGTTCCAGGGATGATTTGCGGATGATGTTGCTCAGATAAATATAGTACTCGCCGTATTTGGGTTCTCGGAGCTCGTCGATCAGCAGTTGGATGGAAGTCGGGGATGGGCGCACGAAACACAGGCATCGCAGGTGTCGCATCTTCTCGCGCGCGGAGTTGTCGAGGCGGTCAATGAGGTACACTTCGTGGTTGAGGAGCGCCGACTGGGTGATGGCGGTCGAGACAATGGGGACCTGGGCCGGAAAATGTTAGCTATCATCGCCGGCAGGTCACCAGCAGAGCGCATCTCCCACTGTCTCACTATCGAGAAGCAGGATCTTCATCTTGGTGGACGAAGACCCCGTGGCCGACTCGCCCGCCGTCACCATCTTGGAGATGTAGCCGGACACAGCTGCGACGACGTCCATGATGGGCGGGAGAGCGCCAGACAGGCGAGAGGGAGGGAGTATAAAATGGAATGTGAAAGTAAAGTGGTAAAGGAGTGCTTATTGTGTTGTTGAGCAGCTGATGTGACGGAGGGAAGTGTCGAGTGCAGATCACCTGGACGGGAGAAACACATGACATCGTGCTTCTTCCCTCCCCTTCCTCTTGTTCTCTCTTTCCTTGTTTTCCCGCCCGCTATCATCTGTTTGTCGAATGCTCTAACAACGGACTGCCTGCCCTCTGGGTCGACAGCATTCTCACCATGCTGCCTTACATTGACGCCTGTTTGTCTTTCCGCAACCCCTCAACTGAGCTCCAACTGACGTCCCCCGCACAGTATTCAACTACCCGGCTCGGCTCACTGGCGCCTCCATCGATGAGTGTATGTTTGGTTTCCTGCACCGAACAACTTCAGCAGTCTGACTCTCTCTGTCTAGTGAAGCTGATCACCTCGTTCCTCCTATCCTACCCGCTAGCCGCCCTGCTCAAACGCATTCCCGACGGCCAACCGTGGAAGAAAAATGCCTTCATTATCGGCGTGTCGCTCTTCTACCTCGTTGGTCTATTTGACCTGTGGGATGGCCTGCGCACTCTTCTGTACAGCGCAGCTGGCACATACGCCATTGCTTACTATGTAGACGGTTCGCTCATGCCATGGATCGGGTTTATCTTCTTGATGGGCCACATGTCAATCAACCATGTTTACCGCGAAATCCTCAACGATCCGCAGGTGATTGACATTACTGGTGCACAGATGGTGCTCGTCATGAAGCTGTCGGCCTTCTGCTGGAACATCCATGATGGCCGTCTGCCTCAGGACCAGCTGTCCGACCCGCAGAAGTACTCCGCCATTCCCGAGTTTCCGGGCATTGTCGACTACGCGGGTTATGTGCTCTTCTTCCCGGCGCTTTTTGCCGGTCCAGCTTTTGAATATAATGACTACCGCCGCTGGATCGACACCACGCTCTTCGACGTTCCCCCCGGCACGGACCCATCCAAAGTGCCTCCAACGCGGAAGAAGCGCAAGATTCCCCGCAGTGGGACGCCCGCCGCAAAGAAGGCGGCCGCTGGGCTGGGCTGGATCTTTTTGTTCTTGCAGCTGGACGCCTACCACACCAAGGAGTTTGCGCTCTCTGACGAGTTCATGACGTACAGCTTCGTGCGTCGGGTGTGGGTCGTGTACATGCTTGGATTTAGCACACGCCTGAAGTATTACGGCGTCTGGTCTTTGACAGAGGGCGCCTGTATCCTTTCTGGCATGGGATATAACGGCTTTGACCAGAAGACGGGCAAGGTGTTTTGGAATCGCCTGGAAAACATCGATCCCTGGAGCCTCGAGACGGCCCAGAATTCGTATGCGTATCTGGGCAGTTGGAACAAGAACACCAACCACTGGCTGCGCAACTATATTTATCTGCGGGTCACCCCGAAAGGCAAGAAGCCTGGCTTCCGGGCCAGCCTGGCCACTTTCGCGACCAGTGCGCTGTGGCACGGTTTCTCCCCGGGCTACTATCTAACCTTCGTTCTGGGCTCGTTCATTCAGACCGTTGCAAAGAGTAAGTCCTTCCATACCTTCATTCTCTGCAACACAAGCTAATGAAAACACATAGACTTCCGCCGCTACGTCCGCCCCTTCTTCCTCACACCAGACGGCACCAAACCCACGCCCTACAAGCGCTACTATGACATTCTCAGCTGGGTCGCCACGCAACTAACCCTAGCGTTCGCAGTAATGCCCTTCATCTTTTTGAGTTTCGGCCAATCCATCGCCGTCTGGCGCCGCGTCTATTTCTACGGGATCATCGGCACCATCGTGTCCCTGGCGTTCTTCCTCTCCCCAGCAAAGGGCTACCTGGTTTCCATCTTGAAACGTCGCAACCGGCCCCATGTCATGCGCACCGTCAGCCAGGAGACTGTACGCGCGCCGACATTAGGCCTGCCTAATGATCCCGAGCGCGACTTCGATGAGGCCGTCCAAGAGATCAAGGCGGAGATTGAGTCCCGCCGCAGACGCGGAAGTGCGGTTACAATGCCCTCCGGCGAGGAGTTGAAGATTGCTGTGGAGCAGAAGATTGGGCGGAAGCTTTAGTGGGGTCGTGTGGCTGGGGTAGGAAGCTCGTCAAGGGACTTGACCCTCCATTGCACAATTTCAACGAATGGACGGCCGCACGACCAGTCCATAATTGATGGACCGATCAGTGTCAGCGACCATGGGAGAGCTGAAGGCATGAAATATCTGGGACAGCTGATGGATGATGAGGTGTATGCAAGGGGGTGGAACTATAGAGAGCCGGCAGGAAATATGTATGTACATATATGGATGCTCTCTCTTCACCCCTTTTTTTTATTTTTGGGTTTTGTGGGAGTACACTGTGAAGCTGTGGTTGGTGGAGCAGCTTTTTAATCCGAGGCAATGATTGTGATTCCCATATTGTTTAGAATGATAGACCTATTGATGTTCATTTCCTACTACTATAGTCCTTGTAAACAATAACTCGGTCAGGAAGCAGGATGAGTCTAGAAGAAAATGAAGTTGACTGCAGATAAATAGTGTCACATGAAGTACATGATGAAGAATTAGAAACAAGAGGAATGTATGTCAAAACAAGACAACCAACAAAGCGAGTCAAGTCAAATCAAATCAAGTGCAATCGGGTCAGACATATCCATTACAGGGGTCATATCGTATAACCATAAGTAAAAGCCAACACCACCATCATCAAAAAAGGGGGAGGAGATGGGGCCGGAAGAAGAAGGGCAAGAGGCAAAGGGGAATAATTATATATGCATACAGTCGTTGTTGCTTTCATGCAGTCGTGTCGAAGATGTCCAGTGAAGCGAAGATAAATGAAGCATTCCCGTTGAAGTGTTCGGGGAAGGGGAATCGAAAACAAAGTAAGAAATCGACGTAGGAGGGATCGAGACGGATGTGCTGAAACAGTAAAGAAAATGCACCGTTGGCGTAATGTAAATCGTCGGCGGGGAATCAGATAGCAGACTCCATTCGTAAGAAGGAATGCAATCGAAAGGAAGTCAAGTCATGAGAGTAAGAGCTGTTGTTGGAAGGGAAGGCGAGGCATCAAAAGCCGTTGGTAGTACCGATAATAGAGAGAGCGATCTGCACAGAGTCTGTTAGCAACCCAGTCCTTGCTTTTCAGCTGAAAGAAAGGTAACTCACAATAACGACGAAAATCACCACACCCAGCGACACCATCCACCGATTAAGATTCCTCCACCAGCGCGCGTTCTCATACCGCCGGTGATGCAGACTCATCAACTGCGTCTCAAGCGCGGACTCAACGTCTGTATCTGGATCACTCTTCTCGCCCAGCATTTTGGGCTGCCTGGGCAGTGGGAGGAAACTCGCGATGATCCAGGAGAACGGGAAGAGGAAGCCGACGCAAAAGGCGTATACTTGGATATTGCGCCGGCTCCACGTCGGCTCCGTAGTTGTGTCTATTGACGGGGCCTTCCATCCAGTGGATGAATACTGAATCAGGCGTCTGTCTTGATACAGATGCGGAGACCAGCTGTGGCGCAGGCGGTTGCGCGGCGTGCCCACGATCTCGATATCTTGGGGATCCGGCCCGGGAACCCAGTGGGAGCGCGGGTCGCGGGGATCGCTGTCCACGCGCCGTTGGGTAATCCGAGCGCGTTCGGGGGAACGCGGTCTTTCTGGAGACCGTGGGCGAGGGATGTTGAGTGGGGAGGGCATCAGACCGAAGATGCTGGAGTTGCCTGTCCCGGGCCGAGAGCCTGGTCGGCTGAGGTCCCACACGGACATGTTTAAGGCGGAATTGAGGCCCATTCCATCGGCGCGGTAGTAAATTTTCGCCCAGGCGGGCAGGATGTGCATGATTGTGTTGGTGGCTGTCCCGGGACGTTTGACGCTGCGGGAGCTGTCGCTTCTCTTCGAGCCGGAGGAGGGACTGGAGGGCAAGCCAGGGCGGACGGAGAGGCTTGTCAGGCTGTCCTGGCGCAGGTCTTCTTCAGACTTCCGAACAAGCCACACGGTGGATCTGGTATTTGTTTTCACCAATGCCGCTGCTGGTGCGGCGGGTTCACTTGTGTTGTCTGAAGGTCCATCTGGCGGCGGTGTTTGGGCCATGATTTCCTCTGCGGAGAAAACAGAAGATACTCGAGACAGATGAGGATTCCAACGGCCAGAGGCTGGACCGGGAGTGAAGTCCCGGCCGGGTGTAAACTCTCGGCGATGATCTGTGGAAACGGATGTTTCTGCCCGGGAACTGGACGACGCAGCACGAATCCGGGGATACTGAAGTTGGATGCCGCTTTCAATTGCCGCAGCGAGGTCGGCTACCGAGCGCATACTGCGCGAGGATGTAGTTCCAGAGCGTGATCGGCTACTACCACTACCAGAAGGACGTCTAGACGACGAGCGGAAGGATGTGACGGACTGGTAGGGTGGAGTTGATCGGAAAGACTGCGAGCCTGAACTCGGTTGCTCCGACGAGGCCGTATAGATCCACGGGGCTGCGCCGGGGTGTCTTACAACAGTCCCGTGCGAGTTGTATGAAGAAAGCGAGTTTGCCCGTGGATCCGTCAATGAGTAGGATCTGCCCCGGGAGTAAAAATTGGCGCTTGAGTTGTTGAGAGTCATGAAGTTAGGGCTTGATGGAACTCCAATGGCCACCACGTTCGGACTGGAGCTGCCAATGGTAGTTTGCTCCGGTTCCCCTTCGGATGGAGGGGGGTGGGTGGCTCTGAGAGTACCGGTTTGATGGTTGGCGTAGCTGTGGGCAGAACGAGCATCTCGTCATCTGAATATTCGGAGCCAGAGTCCTCTTCCGTCAAACTGTCGACGGTCTTAGACGACGACGCCCTCGGTAAAGAGGTTTTGCTGGATGTGAGATTTGGATCATCTTCCCACATGTCTCCGGTATCAACAGTGGATGAAACATCCCAAGTCTCGCTGGTAGAGTGTTCCAGCATGCTGCTCCGCGCACCATAACTGGTGGAAGTCGGAGACCAAGTAGCTGTCGAAGGCCCCGGCATAAACCGTGTATCTGGAAGGTATTCCTGCTGTCCTTTGCCGGGGGCAGGCAGGAAAATCTGCTCCGGTTTTGTCGGGAAGGGTGTGGCCGTATACACATCCACATCATCCACATCCTCCTTCTCACAAACCATCCGCAATGACCGCGTGGGCGATCTCTCATTCGTATGGGCGGACGTTCGCTCTTGTAAAGCCCTCCGCTGTCGAGGCGGAGAGGACGATTGGGCTCGTGAACGCATGTTGTCGAGGGAATATTATTGCATGTTCGAGAAGAAAAACGACGGAATGAGGGACACGCGCGCGTAATAAAAGAAGGCGCCGAAGAATCGTGGGGCAATCAATGAAGAATGCAGACTCATGAATGACGAAAGAATAATATTGATCTTTTCCTAGGTTGGAACGACGTAAGGAATGCTCCGTGGCTGGGAGAGTCAATCTGATATCGATAGTTGGAATGAGGGTCTATAGTCAGCCAAGAAGGTCGGGGACTCATTAACAAGAATTAAAATTAAAAAAAAAAAAGGAATTAAAAGGTCGTTTCAGACATTAAAGAGCGTAACGAAGGACTGGAAGAAAAAGAACGACGACTGCGAAGCACAACATGAGACAAGAGGAAGCGCCGAACCAAGGGGGGGGCCGGGAATTTTGTTGCCCAGCGGCGGTGAGCGTCAGCCCTCCAGCGCCTATCACATCGAGTCGGAGGGGGGCGCAGGGGTATGCAGCCGTTAGACTCGGCCGGGCTGAGATAGTGTCGATCTGGCTGAAGTGATGAGTCGGGGTTGGATTGTCATTAGGTCTTGACGGTATGGAGGGCGTGGTGCAGAGACCTGTCACCCACGCTATACTCCTATACTCCGAGAGACATTCACTATTGTCTTCAAGTACAGATCCCCAGCCCTGTCCCTGTCCCGTCAGCCCCACCCAACTGAGTTGTTCCTGATCCGCCGGGATGAATGAGCGAATGATCATGATTAGCGCCGGCATTAATTGTTTCGTGGCCTTCCCAGCCCTCTATTGCAGTGATGGCCACGCTATTGCTCATGAGGTCGGAGAATTCGACCACGGTCCCTGCTTGCTGAGGATTTCGCAAGGGATGACCGGCAGCCGATGGCTCACAACGGACCACAGGGGCTCCACGCAGAGCTCGGTCCATCCGTTCGGAGGAACTGAGTGGGCAGCTATTTTGGTACACTCGCAGGAGACTATCGACTATTGACAGGGGACACGATTCTCTACTTGCGAGGACCATCATCCTGTCTCTAGGAAGAAATGGAACAATAGGAAATGAATGTGACAGGGTATTACCAATATTACCACTCTCTACTATTGTAGCCACAATACCGTACGGTCACTCACGGTCACCCGCCGCAAAGAAACCCGGCCGCCTCCAACACATTTGAACCAGCATAAAACCTCACCCCAGTCCTGACCACCATGGCGCCAGTCTCCATCCTGGCAAGACTCCGGGGCATGTATTCGGGGAAGATGGGTATGTCCATGTCCCAACACGCGTAGCAGTCCTAGGCCAGGCAGGCAGCCAGGCAGACAGAACGACAGGTCAGACTAACTCAAACTCGCAGAGGAACCCGCGTTGTCGGTGCACTCCGTGGTGCTGGTCTCGGTACGTCCATATACATCACTTATTTCGGTGCACAGTCAATATTGACTATTTAACTCTAAAACAAAAGATCCTCCTCACATGCGTCTATGTGGCCCCTTTCTATCTCTCCCCAGCCACGCGACCATCGCCCAGCCTGAGCAGAGACGCGCCCTCCGTGATCCGCGCGCGCATTCGCGCCGTCACGGCGTCTTGCATCGTTAGCTCGATTGTCGTGCTGTGGATCATTGTCGAGGAAGGCAATTCCTCATTCGGCGCCGCGCTCAGCACCCTTGGCTGGTGGCCCATCGATCTGGGTGACATCATCCGCTGTGTCTTGCTAACTGCCATCCTCTTCCTGGGCCCCCTGTTCGAGAGGGGCGTGGTCGAGGGTGAATGGCGGAGTTGGTTTCGCAGAGACAAGTTCTCTGAGAGCCTGGGCGGCTGGATTGGGTGGCGGAATTATGTGGCCGTAAGTACCCCAATCAATGCCCTTTCCTTTGTTACTGCTTGGATACTGATTCATTTACCAGGGCCCTGTGACGGAGGAGATCATGTTCCGCTCTGCCATCATCCCGCTGCATCTGCTGGCGGAAGTGTCCCCGGGCCAGATTGTCTTCGTGGCACCGCTGTACTTTGGCATCGCGCATGTGCACCACTTCTACGAGTTCTGGCTGACGCACCCGGACACCCCAGTGCTGGCCGCGGTGCTGCGGTCGCTGTTCCAGTTCGGTTACACGACTGTTTTTGGCTGGTATGCCACTTTCCTGTATCTCCGAACGGGGTCCCTGCCGGCGGTGATTCTCGTCCACAGCTTCTGCAACTGGTGCGGCCTGCCCCGGTTTTGGGGACGTGTGGAGGCCGGTGAGCCGCTTGGTCCGCCCATGGCAAAGGCCAAGGAGGATTCGGACGGTAGTGCCTCCAACTCGGTGTACGTGGCGGACGGGACCCTAGGCATTGGTTGGACGGTTGCGTACTACATCTTCCTGGTTATGGGGGCTGTGGCCTTCGGACTCACTCTATGGCCGCTGACAGAGTCGTATCATGCTCTGGTTTCGTTCACGACGAGCGCAAAAACAGCGTCGTCATGATCCGATGATCCTTACATATCTCTTTGGCAGGTGCCAGGTATTGACTGTCCATCTACTGGCGTTGTTGTATATTATCATCTCGGACATAGGTTGCATAATGCATGATTGGTTTTATATTGGAGAGATGAGATCTAATCACTTAGATAACCCTGTTATTGGGTATATATCCTTGACCTTCCTCACCGTGAAAGACCAAGAACCGAGTCCATCACACTGCGCAACTTCCTCTCACATGCCTCCCCATCCCCCGGCACTCTCTCAGCTCGCCATGCCACCACCCGATCCGGACGTACCAAGACAGCTCCCGACTCCTGCACTCCACGCACTGACTCCCAATCGTAATAAACATCCTCCCAGTCCTGGCGGAATCCAAGCGAATGCACTCCAATCGCAACACCCAAAGACGTTGAAACCCTCGCTGCTGCATCTCGCCAATTCTGCGCACCACCAATCCCCGTGAACAATATAAACGCACCATGCCCGGCTAGATCGATCGTCGAGATCGGTTGAGTAGGAACGGCTTTGTTCAACCACACATGCGGCAGTCGACATCCCGGATACGTGCCGGGCTCATGATATAACACCTCATCGTCAGCCGCACGACCCTCAAGCTTGTAGGGATACGTCTCATCAGCGGTGTAGATTGCCTGGCTGGTATAATGCTGATTCATTTCAACGCCCAGACCATGAAACTCATGCGCCGTATGCAGAATTCCTTCTCGCAGTTTGCGCCGACGCTCGCTTCCCTCCGCCGTCGCACTCTCCAATTCCCGCAGTATCTCCTGTCGAGTCGAAACATCCCCGGAAAGAAGCCCCAGCGCGTCCCATATCTGGACATGATCCCGCAGCGCCTGATTCGCACGCGCAATGACTGATTGTCCGACTGGCTGTCTCTCCTCTGAGAAACTGTCTAGTAGGGATGGGCGTGCAAGACCGCGGTGCACGTAGGCGATTTTCCAGGCGAGGTTGAATGCGTCTTGGATGCATGTATTCGAGCCTAGGCCGTTGAGAGGCGGGTGTCTGTGAACTGCATCGCCGAGACAGAATCTGAACAAGGCTCAATTAGCCACCGAGCCCCCCCCCCCAAGAAGGGGAGAGATAAAACCAACATATTTCTTCCCTCTGAATACCTCTCCGCAACAGTCTCATTAATCACCCACTTCGACACATCCAGTATTTCCGCCGGGGTCTCATCACCAATAAACTCCCGTACCCGAGCAAGACACTCTTGTTTTCCTGGGTTCAGTTCCCGGGCATTACTGCACTCCCGGTCCGGGAAAAGGATAAACATCCACTCAGTCCACGGCTTGACCATGCGCACTATCGCCATCCATCCGAAGTCCGGATGGTTCTTGTCGGGCTGCATGACCCAGTGCAGATTCCCGGTGCGGTACTGTACCAAATGGCTCAGATCTGCCTTGACGAGCACGTTGATTGCGAGACCCTGTCCGGGCTTCTTGGTCAAGGGGAGATCGAGCTGCTTGACGACCTGGCTTCTGGCACCGTCTGCGCCGAAGAGGTAGTCTGTTTGGATCTTGTAGGCTATGTTGGTCAAGTTGTCGTGCACTGTAGCTGTGATGAGCCCCTTTTGGGGATTATCTACAGCAAAAGAGGTAAGAAATGTGTTGAAGCGGACTGAGAAGCCGTTCTTCGTGGCGTGGCGCACGAGGATGGGCTCGAGGAGGGTTTGCGGAAGGTCGATGGGGGAGCAGGGGCTGGCGGTTTCGTAGTCTCCCTGGAATTTATCAGTGAACTCGCTTTTTTTCAGGACAAAATGGTATGGTATGGTAGAAGGAGAACCTTTCGCTTGGGATCATTGCCCCATGAATAGATCCGCGCATATTCCGCTCCAGCCATGCTATGGCACCATCGCGTATGGACCATATGGTGGTCTCCACTGGAGGAGAGATTGAGGAGTTCATCTTCAAGTCCGATATCCCGTAAACACTCTATGAAGCAGAAATCAGCATACCTTTAATCAGAGGGTCTATCTGTTCGCACCTAATGCGGCCATGTTGGTAATATGGGCACGCGGTGTATCTGCAGTGCCGGGTGCGGCACTGATCACGATTCCTTTCAGTCCTATGGATGAGATATATTAATGAAACGTCCATTGTGTTTGGAGTTTCTTATATGCCACTTGCCGTAAGACCCAAGAAAGCAGGCCAGTGATGCGCCGGCTGGTCCTGCACCGACAATCAAGAACTCGGTATGGACCACTCCGGGCTCGAGCGTGTGGCCCGAACAGTCCTGGCAAGTATCTCTGGTCGTCATTGCGAGAGGATTGAAGCTTCACTTTCAGCTAGGTGGCTTGCTTGGTGATACACTATACCCTGCGTACAACAGCCATCCGACGCCTTTTATCTCGTCTACCGCATCTCGTAACATCATCTGCATCAGCATCTATCAGCAAGGCACCCCGCTTACGATCCCCTTAGTCATTGTTTGACTGCGGATTTAGTCAGTGTTGATCTTCCCCAGGTCCCGCCGGTCCGTCTAGGGTCCCGCCCTCTGTCCCACCGGGGCTACAGCCAGTTCCTACGGGGAGAGAAAAGAGATATGTCAGTGAGGATATTTCAATGCTAATATACATGTCTCTCTATCGCTAGTAAATAGACAGAAAGGGTTTATACATGAAAGGGGTTTCTTATTAGAACACCACGTTAACCAACTTGCCCCCCTGGACAACAATCACCCGTCGGCGCTTCTCCCAATCATTCTTCTCGCGAAGCCATAACTGTCCATCCTCGGTTTCGAGGACCTGCTTCACAATCCAGTCCTGTTGCTCCTGCGAGGGCGGGGCGGTTTTGCCCTTTGTCTTGGGAGAAGGTGTTGGGGATTGCATTCGTGGAATGGTCACCGCGCAACGCAGCTTGCCGTTTATCTGGACGGCGACGGTCTGGCCGCCGCGAGAGGAGAGACTGTCCACTTGTTCAGAGGTGAGGAGGGGAGTGGGCCAGGTGGATGAGTGGATTGATGGCACTGGGTTAGTCTCAGTCTCCTTCAGGTTCAGGACTTCCCAGCATTCGGAGGTGAGAGCGGGTGCGATTGGGGCTAGGAGGTGTAGGAGGGATGAGACGGATAGGTAGAAGATAGCGGGCGAAGAAGGAGGCGAGGAGATGAGAGCGTTTGTTAGCTTGGTCAAGTCCGAAATGACCGTGTTGAGCCCGTAAGGATTCTTTTCGATACAGGCTGTCACGGATGAGATGGTGTTGTGAGTGGCCAAGATGGCGTCGGCATCTGCGTCGTTCAGATCCTGTAGGGACGGTGGGAGAAGGTCTGCATGCGCAGTGGACCCGATGTGTTCTAGAGATAACCCCGATTTCCTCACCATGTCACCCGCATCGTACACCAGTTTCGAAAGTCGACCGAACCAGCGCTCGACACCAACAATCTTCGTCTCATCCCACTCGAGGACTTCACTGACCGGAGCCGAAAACAGGATCTGCGCGCGAGTTGCATCGGCGCCGTATTTCAACGCGCACGCGGTGGGATCCACTCCGTTGTGCTTGCTCTTTGACATCTTCTCAAATGAGATGTTGGGTGCCACTTGAGTGCCGCTGATCAAAGGCTTGTCCGGGTTGGTAAGGTCCACTTCAGACGGAAGCAGGAATCGGCCGGTCGAGGGCTCTGAGAAGGTTTTGCCGTGAACCATTCCTTGGGAGAGCAGCATCTTGAACGGCTCTGCTACTGTTTCGCTGGATGTCGGGAAAAGCTCAGACTGGGAAAGAAACTTGTAAATGAATCGGGCGTAGAGCAGGTGCAGGATGGCATGTTCAACGCCTCCAATATAGACATCCACCGGGCCCGCCACAGAGGGTGAGAAGGGGGCCTCCTTGTTGGCAGCATCCAAGAAGCGCAGGTAATACCAAGATGAGTCCACAAAGGTATCCATGGTATCTGTATCACGCCGCGCGGGCCCTCCGCAGCTTGGACAGTTAGTATGAAGCCACTCTTCGGATGACTCAAGCGGGTTGCCTTTCTTGCCCTTTAGCCAATCTCCTTGAATTTTCGGGAGCTTCACTGGAAGGTCTTCCGCTGGCACCGGCACGGCACCACAGTCACCACAGTGAATGATGGGAATAGGGGTACCCCAGTATCGCTGACGACTGATCAACCAGTCCCGTAGCCGCCAGCTTTCAACGAAATCAGCTTGTCCGACTTGCTTGAGATCAGCAACGATCTGCTCCGCGGCTTCTTTCGAGTGCATGCCGTGATATTTCCCACAGCGAGACGTCAGGAATCCCTCATGAGTAAAGGCTTTCGCATCTTGGGCGGGCACAGTCGTGTCTTTCGATTCCGATGGCTCCGACTCGATGACAACAGAGATCGACTCTGGGTTCATATTCTCTTTGAAGAACATCATGTCTCGCGTGTCGTGACCCGGGACACCCATCACAGCGCCTTCTCCGTAGTCGCCGAGAACGTAGGGGGCCACGAAGACGGGAAGCCGGCGCGCCAAATGAGGGCTGTCGGTGTCGATCTTTTGCAATGGATGCGAGGCCTCAATATCGATCAAGCGGTAGCCAGCCTTCGAGTCCGGTGGGAGCGATGACGCCTCTTCCAGAAATTTGCGCAGCTCACCATCCTTCTCGGCAGCCTTCAAAACAATGGGGTGAGTCAACGACAGAGCCAGATATTCAACTCCATACAAAGTGTCCGGCCGCGTGGTGAACACACCCACATCGACTTCCTCGTCCCCTGCAAGAACAGGGAACCAAACTTTGGCACCATCCGACTTGCCCAGCCAATTCCGCTGCATCGACAACACATGTTCTGGCCATCCACCAGTCAAGGAATCAAGGTCCCTCAAGAGCATCTCCTTGAAGTCGGTAATGCGAAAGAACCACTGCTTCAAGTTCAACTTCTCGACCTTCGCACCAGACCGCCACGAGAACCCATTCGCATCCACCTGCTCATTCGCCAACACCGTCTTGTCCACGGGATCATAGTTGACCAATGCCTCCGCCTGGTACGCCAGTCCCTTTTCGTACAGCATGAGGAAGATCCGTTGGGTGTGTTCGTAGAATTCCGGTGCGCAGGTTGCCAATTCCTAAGCACCCAATAAAAATGATTATCAGCCAGCACAATCCGAATTGATTGATTTCAACATACCCGGTCCCAATCAAACGAAGCAGAAATACTCCGCAGCTGCGCCTTCATCTTCGCAATATTCTGCTCCGTCCAGTCTGCCGGATCAACGCCTCGCTCGATGGCCGCGTTTTCCGCTGGCAGTCCAAAGGCATCCCAGCCCATGGGGTGGAGGACCTCGTGTCCTCGCATCTTGTAGAACCGGGATATGACATCCGAGATGGTGTAGACGCGGAGGTGGCCCATGTGCAGCGTGCCGGAGGGATAAGGGAACATGGAGAGGATGTAGGACTGCGGTTTGGGGGACGACGGGTTGTTCTCCTGCGCTGCCCATTTCTGCTGCTTCTCCTCTTCCCATCTGGTTTGCCATTTCTTGTCCAGCGCCGGCAAGTCGAGTTTTGGGTAGGTCGTCGCGAGGCGGATCGCGGTGTGAGGGACGTTAGGGAAGGCCCGCCGGAGGGACACCGGGTGTATCGCACACCGCCGGCTGGGGACCAGGGAGGACAATCGGATGCGTGAAAGGCTCAGCATGGTCGCCGCTCGGTCATTGTGTCAGCGAGACATGGGTGTGGTGGTGGTAATTACGTGGTGGTGTTTTGTCGAAGTTGCAAATAAAATTCCGGGGAGTCTCAGAGGCTCCGATTGGACTAGCGTGGTCGGTTCAACCAACTATACGCTCATGGTAGTTATAGCTCTATTATTCTATGCTCTACCTCCCTATTACCCATTTATAACCGCAGAATATCCCCATTCATTCCAATCCCACCCCGGAAGTGGTCCGCGATCACCCTACCCCCGAGCACCGTCTCATCCACCACGCCCTGAACATGCTTAGGCTCAACCCGGCCATACCAGATCCCCTTCCCGGCCAGCGGGTGCAGCTCCTCGCCCATCCTCATCTTCGGCGGAATATAGACAATGACATTGCCCGCATACTTGTGCCCGCCCACATGGCTAATCAGTCCCAGATGCGCATGGTGCGGATCGTCCACAATTGTCCCAGTATTATCAGCCGATGTAAACCCTCGCGCTTGCAGCACGCGCTGGAACTCCATCTCTAGAACAGGCCCCATCACGCCGCAGCGCATGTCGCGGCCTCCGTGGCCGCAGACGAGGATGGTGGGCGAGTAACTGATGTCCACGATGCCCGGAAACTGGGAGGCCAACTCGGGGGAGCGGGTCATTTCGGCGCGCTTGGTCGAGGGGAGAGAGGAGTGCATGTCGTGGAGGTGGGAGGGGAGAAGGAAGGCGCGCACAAAGGTCGTCAGGTCTGGAGATTGATCGGGTGTGGTATGCACGGGGATCGAGGGGATGTATTTGAACGCGGGGAAGAGGAAGGCAGACGCCGTAGAGGTAGAAGAAGTCGCAGCGGCGGGCGCAATACAGGAGGTGGAAACCAGGACATTATTGAAGGGCTATCAATCCGAAGAATCAGCAATGGCTCTGCGTGGACCTGCCAGGAAGGAAACCTACGTCGAGATACGGACCCCCGCGACCGAGCAGCCGCTTCAATCCGCGCACCAGATCGCCCCAGCTGGTATGCCGACCGTCGTTCTCAATGCGGCTCGACCAGTCTCGCTGTCCCGTACAAACCAACAGCTGCTGCGCATAGGCAGCCATCGTGCCGTTCAAAGGGTGGTCATGGTCGACCGGGAGCCCCTCGGGCATGGAGGGTGTGGCGGGACAGTCGCAGGTAGGTTCGGGACAGGTCTTGGTCACGGGGAAGGGTGGAGGGATGTCTAGACGCGCGCGCAGACGGCTGGAGTAGCATGGCGTTGTGGAGAGGAAGCGGTGCCGGGGGAGGATGTCGCGCGCGCTGCTCCAGGCGCGCGTAGATTGTGCGAGGGGGGTTAGGCGGAGTCTCATTGAGAGATTCGGAAGGAAAGGGAGGGTAGATGGTAATAAAAAAGAAAGTCCAGAAATAAAATATACAGATAATGAATGACTCGATGGAGGGAGATGAGGAAATTGTCTGCCGTCACGATGTCCGAGACCGAATCAGCTCGGAGCGGAGATAACCGACGGGCATACTGATTGGTAGGACACAACCTAGCAGAGAACAACAGAGTAGTAACAGAGAGCGTGTAGTGGCACAAAAGAGGCCATGTTCACCAGACAGACGGGTATTTACTAGAATATCTGTTGCAGAGGGTTCTCCAGAAATTCTGGAGGGTTCGTATTTGCTGGGAGCACCGCAAAATATATATTGAAGCAGGACTCAACATAGATCCACGACCTTCACCCAAATGTCTGCACGCCGGTCTTCACTCTCAATTCCGATCTCGCAACCATTTACTCCGAAGCTCATTTGAAAACATGCCGTTGATCGACCTACGCGTAACTGGGTTCGACAGATCGGCCGCTAACGATGACGATGAACAACACATTCAGAGGGGTAGCAGGAGTGCGAATGAGCGGACCGAGCTGGAACTTCTTCCCGCGGACCAGCCATTAATCAGTTCAGGGCTCACAAAGGCATTCCCGATGCGACAGGGACAACATGTTCCAGCAGAAGGGCAGTGTCCGGCATTCATAAATAGTCGAGTGCAGCGAAGAAATAAATCACGGTGGTCCCGCAGAGGAGGTAAAGCGTCGCCCGCTCGGCAGATTTCTCACACCGGCCCAAGTAGAAAAATCCAGCTTTCCTCGATCGGGACAACGGTTCCCCTGAGGGAGAGGACGGCTCAGAACCATTAGTTCTTAGTCCGACCCGCGCTCTCCTCACCCGAGCGGGTCTGAGGGGGAGGGGGTTTATGGGCGAGGGCCCGAGGAGATGGAGGGACATCGGGCCACAAACGGGGATGACTCGGCGACGGGATGTCAATAATGCCCATGATGCTCATTGTTAAGGCAAGAAGTCCATGATTATTATGATTCGCTGGGTTGCATGGTTCATTGTTTGTTTGCCATCCAGATTGACCTCAATGTTCCCCTCATTATGTCAGCATCCCCTCGTGCGGAGTCATTCTTAGGTGTGTTTTTTTCCTTTTTCCCGGTCGGGCCAGTTGAGAATAATGGGAGGGTGTGTCATTATGATGTACAGGTAGTGCTGCGTGCTGTATATATATTTGTGCGATGGATTAATGATGGACTGAAATAATATAGGTTGGTCATATGTATGGCTACTCCGCCCGTCAGCAAAGAGATCAGCAAGCAGTGAGATCCATAATACGAACCTTGGACTAGACCGTGGGATGAATACACTCAGACTAGGCCCTCTAAATTCTGCAAGTGACAAGGTTTCGCTCCAGCCCGCCAATACACATCCACTCCGGCGCGCTAACCAACGCATCCCCTCATGCGGAGACGGGCCCGAGTGGATGCCCTCTCGGCCGGGGGCCCAAGCTCATTTGTGGGATCTTGAGGGGAGACTGCGAATGTCGCACCAGGGGGGGCTATATAATAGTCGTGTCCTTCCCAGAGTTGAGTGGTTGGCAAGTTCACACCTACAGTAACAGACCTACCGTGTCCCAAGGTACATTCCCCCACACTTACTTCCCCCGCAGACCTCATGACTTTATAACTAACCACTACTTCCCCCCAGTTTTACTTCCCACATACACTTCACTTCTTACTTTCTTCAAAATGGTATTTCTCCGCTCCCTGTCCCGTCCTCTGCGACGGCCTGCTTCCCAATTTGTTTATGGCCTGTCAAAGCCTGTTGCCTGCTCCCCTTGGGGGCGGGCCTCACCTTTGGCCGGCGCCTTTGCCAATGCTCGTCCGCTAACCGCCTCTGCCACTTTTCAGGGTAAAGTTCTTCTGGTTCTCTACGATGTAAGTACTGCCCTTTTTTAAGATTGTGCATTCAATACTAATGGTCTGTAGGGCGGCGAGCACGCCAAGGATCAGCCCATGCTGCTGGGCACCACCGAGAATGAGCTCGGAATCCGCAAGTGGCTCGAGGATGCCGGCCACACCTTGGTCACCACCTCCGACAAGGAGGGCGAGAACTCCACTTTCGACAAGGAGCTGGTCGATGCCGAGGTGATCATCACCACTCCGTTCGTGAACCCCCAGACTCCTAACAAGACTTCACTGACCATCTCCCAGCTTCCACCCCGGCTACCTGACTGCCGAGCGTCTGGCCAAGGCCAAGAAATTGAAGCTGGCAATCACGGCCGGTATTGGCTCGGATCACGTCGATCTGAACGCCGCCAACAAGACCAACGGCGGCGTCACCGTCGCCGAGGTCACGGGCTCCAACGTCGTGTCCGTTGCCGAGCACGTCGTCATGACCATCCTCATCCTGGTGCGCAACTTTGTGCCTGCACACGAGCAGATCCGCCGTGGTGACTGGAACGTCGCGGCTGCGGCCAAGAACGAGTTCGATCTCGAGGGCAAAGTCGTCGGCACCGTGGCCGTCGGCCGCATCGGTGAACGTGTGCTCCGTCGTCTGAAGCCCTTCGACTGCAAGGAGCTGCTCTACTACGACTACCAGCCTCTCTCGCCTGAGGCCGAGAAGGAGATTGGCTGCCGTCGCGTTGAGAACCTCGAGGAGATGCTCGCGCAGTGTGATGTCGTTACCATCAACTGCCCTCTGCACGAGAAGACCCGCGGTCTGTTCAACAAGGACCTGATTTCCAAGATGAAGCCTGGTGAGTGCCGAGTCCCTTGATTGTCCGAGGCAAACAGAGCCCTAACGAACATGCCCAGGCTCCTGGCTCGTCAACACCGCTCGCGGTGCCATCGTTGTCAAGGAGGACGTCGCCGAGGCCGTCAAGTCCGGCCACCTCCGCGGCTACGGCGGTGATGTCTGGTTCCCCCAGCCCGCGCCCAAGGACCACCCGCTCCGCTACGCCCAGCACCCATGGGGCGGCGGCAACGCCATGGTGCCGCACATGTCCGGTACCTCGCTCGACGCCCAGGTGCGCTATGCCAACGGCACCAAGGCCATCCTCGACAGCTACTTCTCCGGCCGTGAGGACTACCGCCCGGAGGACCTGATCGTCCACAAGGGTGACTATGTCACCAAGGCGTACGGCCAGCGCAAGTAAACCAACTTCCTCCGGTGCATGCTGCAAATATTTGTTCTGAGTTTTGATGATCGATGTTAATATTCATTTTCGGTTCGACTTCCCAAGCAGGGAAAGATACGGGGAAATTTGTAGCATCATTAACGATACCAATGCCATGACATCTTGTTCCGATTGATGTTCTCAGTAGAAAAGTGTCGATCCCACCATTTGCATAGTAGAGTTGTAGGAAAGATGCAACGTACGCTATGAACAAGGTATAGAAAACGCCGACCCATGAGCTGTATACACTGACTGACAGGAACAATCATCATCGCCGCCCATTTGAGGGCGAATCCACCTCGTCATCGCTATCGTCCATAAAGCCCTCCTCAAGATCGCGACTTAGCCGCCCCTCCGCCTCGGCCGCCGTACTGCGTCTCCGCTCGAGGGCCTCCCGCCGGGCCGAGTTCATATTCATCCCGACCATAATCTCCCCTTCCTCGTCGTCGATGCTGATATTCTCGTGGTCCGCCATGTGTGCGCCGGCCCGCCACGAGGCAGGTAGGAAGAAACGCATCACGGAGTCGGCGATGCGGTCGCGGAGGGAGAGCGTGTGCGCGGAGATGGAGTGGAGGGGGAGGTATTGTGAGTAGCGTTGGTGGTAGCGCCAGAAGTAAGGGACGATCACGAAGGATAAGAGGAGGTACACCGTTAGAGCGATCACGGCGGGAATGAGGATTGTCTGCGTGGTGGTGGTGTCAGTGCTTCTTCTTCCCGAGTACACACTGCGGGTGGAAGTGTAATGGGGAGTACGCACCTTTGCGAAGCTCATTGAGGATCCCATGGTGCGGGATGCGCCAGCCCACTGGCTGTTTACTCGGGTCAGGGGAGTTCTACTGACCCAGAGTTAACTGGCGCCGATAAGATGGATTGGAAAGGAGTCACGTGGTTACATTTGTGACTGGTCACGTGCAACATAGTTTCTCCGGGCCCGAGACAGAAACCCCCCTAAGCAAGCATAATGTTGTGAATAGTTGATCCCGGGGATTTGTCCTGACTATCTATCTATCTGCCCGTCTCGGCCATTCACCGCCACTGGATTCTTGCAGGGACTTACCTTCCCTCGCTCTTCTTCTTTAAATATCCCTGTCTTTATCTGGTGAGTGCGGTGCGCCGGGCCTTGTTATTGTCCCCTCCTCCCTATCAGCGCGGCCTCCCGCTCTCAACCGGGAGATAGTTCTAACTAACCACCCACACAAAAGGGACCAAACAAAGCGACCCTCTTTTGAATGTCCTCGTCTTCCAAAACCTGCGATCCGATTTGGTTTTAACGTCACTCTCGGAGTGCTAGGCCCAACGCTCATGTTGCGCCTTGCCTCTGCCCAGTGACGCCCGTCAAAATGCCAACCAGTACACCTGGTTCCGATAAATCAAGGCAAACGTCGGCCGGAAAGTCGTTTTTTGGGAGGAAACTGTACAAGGACCGGCCGGGCGACGACCGCTATGATGGATACGCGGGATCGTACGACAGCCTGGCGCCGCCTGCGGCCAGTAGTGCGGCGGGCTCTCGCTCATCTCGCTACTCCAAACGGTCGTCGATTCAGTCTGTCGACCTGAACCACGATATGGACCCCGGAAGCTTTGCGCCGACGCCGGGCGTCATTACCTCCATTCCCTTTGAAAGCCTTCCCTCCGATACCAAGACCCCGATAGCCATCGACAGCATGTCCCGCCCAGATTCATCGTCGCGCCATGATCCAGCGCCGAACCACGCTGGCAACCATCAATACCAGACATGGGCCGCTTCCTCCGCGCCGAATGGTTCCAGCTCCCACCCCTCTGGCCCGCGGCCGCCCCCACACTCTTCCAACATGACCATGAGCAGCAGCACATCCGGTGACCGCGGAGCGCGATATCAGCAGTGGGGGAGGCCGGGGAGTTCAGCCGCGAATGCCGGTTCAATTGACTCTTCCTCGAATTCTCGCACGTCTCTCGACCAGGCCAGCATCTATTCCTCCCATTCATCTAACACGCGGGGCTCGAATTATTGGTCTTCTGACGGCTCTGCTCGTACCATCACGACGTCCCATTCGGGGGATCGCAACACTCTCTTCCAGAGTGGAAGCGCCGGCCGCTTGTCCAATGCGCCGGCCCCGTCGAATTATCCGCCGCCGCCAGAGCATTTCCTGACTCGACCGAGAGATGACCGCGTGGTCGATCAACTGTTCTTGGATTTGATGCAGAAACGAGGCTGGCAGAATCTCCCCGAACAAGCCAAGAGACAGATGCTAGCCTACCCAGCCTCCAAGAAATGGACTCTGGTCCATCAGGACCGGTTGACGGAGCTGCAAGGAGAGCAGAAGAGACGTCAAACTGCGCGTCAGACTCAGTACCAGGAAGGGATGTCCGGGTTGTTGGAACGTGCGGACGAAGAAGGCAGCCCTGAGTGGTATGTTAAGAAGGTCATGGACGATACCATCACATCGAAGCAGCTCGCCAGTTTGAGTGTCAGCCTACGGACACAGCCGATTAGGTAAGGACTGCGTTTTTATTCTTCTGTTGTGCAACGCTAACACGTCAATCTTAGCTGGGTGAAAGCTTTCGTGGAAGCGCAGGGTCAGATTGCTTTGACAAATGTCCTTCAGAAAATCAACCGAAGAAAAGCTTCCGGGCCCGTTCCTGCTGCCCCAACTGGTGATCGAGATCTGGACCGAGAGTATGATATTGCGAAATGTTTGAAAGGCCTGATGAACAACAAGTATGGTGCGGATGATGCCCTGGAACATCAAGGTGTTCTCGTGGCTCTTGTTACCTCGCTGGGATCGCCTCGTTTGAATACCAGGAAGCTTGTCAGTGAGGTCTTGACCTTCCTCTGTCATTGGGCCGAGGGACAAGGACACCTGAAAGTCCTCCAGGCCATGGACAAGGTCAAGCACGACCACAACGAAACTGGCCGTTTCGACGCCTGGATGCGCATTGTCGAGGTGACGATCGATGGCCGTGGCAAGATGGGGAGCCTTGTTGGCGCCAGTGAAGAGTACCGCAGCGGAGGTATTGGCATGGAGAATCTGCTGATGGAGTACGCGGTCTCGACTATGATCCTCATCAACATGCTGGTGGATGGAGCGGAGACCGACCTGCAATTGCGGTGCCACATTCGCGCCCAGTTCATCTCATGTGGCGTCAAGCGTCTCTTGACGAAGATGGAGGGGTTCCAGTACGAGGTCATCGACAAGCAAATCGAACGGTTCCGGGAGAACGAGGCGATCGACTACGAAGATCTCCTCCAGCGGGAGGGCAGCAGCGCGAAGGACAGTGTCGAAGGCGAGGTGAAAGATATGAGCGATCCGCTTCAAATCACCGATGCCATTGCCACCAAGATTCAAGGTAGCCGTGCACACGACTACTTCCTGTCTTCCATGCAGCACATGCTCCTCATCCGCGAGAATGCAGGCGAGGAAGGTCTTCGCATGTTCCAGCTGGTGGACGCCATGCTGAGCTACGTTGCTATGGACCGGCGGCTTCCCGATATGGACCTCCGGCAAGGCTTAAATTTTACCGTTCAAAGCCTCTTGGACCGACTTCACACCGACGCAGAGGCCAGACAGGTGTACGATGAGTCTCTCGAGGCCCGTCAGATCGCCGAGGCTGCTCTTGCTGAGCGTGATGAAATGAAAGCACAGGTAGAACTTGGTGCCGAGGGTCTTGTCAAAAAGCTTCAGAAACAGATCGACGAACAAGCTGGCATCATTGAGCTCCAAGGGCGGCAGAACGAGTCGTTGAAAGCCGAGGTCGCAGAGGTGCAAAGGCTTCGTGCCCAGGAGCTGCAACGCAACGAATTGGAGACCCGAGAGTTGTATCTCATGCTGCGCGACGCCCAGGATATTGCTGCGTCTAACGCCAAGAAGGCTGCCAGCGGCACCGGCGACAAACTCGCCGAAGAGGATCCATCTAAGATGCCTGGCGTCATGGACCGAGAGCGGCTTATGGAACGTCTGGAGCGGCAGCTGGAACGAACCAAGACTCAATTCAAGCTTGAGGGCAAAGTTTGGGGCCAGCATGGACCATCTGATCGGTTGCGCGAGCTGCGTGAGAAGATGGACGGCGAAGACGATTCCAGCGAGGACTTCGAGGAGCAGACCCGTCGCAGACTGGATCCCGGTGCTTTTGGTTCTGTTTATCGGAAGAGAAGCCATGTGCCGGAGATGGGTCACACGCCTGAGAGCGGCGACTCCATGACACCTGTGGATGAGAGTGACGAAGTTTTGTACGAAAAACCTCGCATGGTGGAACTGTCACGCCCGCAGCGCATGAACACTGCCCAGGCGACTGGTCTGCTGGGCGAGCTTGCTTCCAAGTTGCCTAAATATGCTGGCGATGATGCCGAAGGCGATGCCTTTATGGCTGAACCTCCTTCTACCCTTTCGGCCGAAGAGGCCGCTCTTGCTACCGACGAACCGGTTTCATCGCCAGAGAAGGAGAAGGCCGATCGTGCTGCTATGCCCCCTCCGCCGCCACCGCCTCCTCCCCCAGGCGCGGCCAAGGGGGAGCCGCTATGCCACCACCACCTCCTCCGCCTCCCGGAGCAGTGAAGGGTGCGTCTGCACCCCCACCACCGCCACCTCCCCCTCCTGGAGCCGCGAAGGGACTCGCCCCCCCTCCTGGAGCTGCAAAGGGACTCGCTCCCCCTCCGCCTCCTCCGCCCCCATCGTCAGCACCTGGCATGGTTCCGCCGCCTCCGCCTCCCCCAAGCGCTCCCTTGGGCGCAGGCTGGAGACCAGCCTATTTGGATGGCAACTCCGTTGCACCATCAACGGCCGTTATGCCCTCTATTCGTCCTAAGAAGAAGCTCAAGGCTTTGCATTGGGACAAGGTCGATACTCCTCAGGTGACAGTCTGGGCGACGCATGCACCCACCCAGGAGGAGAAGGAAGAGAAATACACCGACCTGGCCAAGAAGGGTGTCTTGGATGAGGTGGAGCGTCTGTTCATGGCGAAGGAAACCAAGATCTTTGGGAATAGTGCAGCAGCGAAGCAGCGCAAGGACAAGAAGCAAATTATCTCCAACGACCTCTCGAAGAATTTCCAGATCGCCCTGGCCAAATTCTCTCAATATCCTGCGGAAGATGTGGTGCGGATGATTATTCACTGTGACCGCGAGATTCTGGATAACATGGTTGTCATGGATTTCTTGCAGAGAGACGAGCTGTGCACGATCCCCGAAAACGTGGTTAAGTTGATGGCGGCATACAGCATGGACTGGACCGGTCCTGGTGCGGCCAGCTCTGAGCGCGAACAAGATCCCGCCGAGTTGACTCGCGAGGACCAAATCTACCTCTACACTGCTTACGAGTTGAATCATTACTGGAAGGCCAGAATGAGGGCTTTGGCGTTGACACGCTCCTTCGAATCCGAGTACGAGCACCTCTCTGAGAAGTTGCAGTATGTCGTGAAGGTCAGCGAGTCGCTGCGGGATTCGGTTTCGTTGATGAATGTTCTTGGCCTGATTTTGGATATTGGAAACTTCATGAACGACGCCAACAAACAGGCCCAGGGCTTCAAGTTGAGCTCGCTCGCTCGTCTTGGCATGGTCAAGGATGACAAGAACGAAACGACCTTTGCCGACCTCGTCGAACGTATCGTTCGCAACCAGTATCCCGAATGGGAAGGTTTCGTCGATGAGATCGCCGGTGTGGTCAGCTTGCAGAAGGTCAGCGTCGATCTGCTGCGCCAGGACGCTACCAAGTATATCAACAACATCAAGAACGTGCAGTCTAGCTTGGATGCCGGCAACTTGAGTGACCCCAAGAAGTTTCATCCCCAGGACCGTGTCAGCAATGTGGTCCAACGATCCATGAAGGACGCGAGGCGCAAGGCCGAGCAATTGCAGCTGTACCTGGATGAAATGATCAAGTCGTATGACGATATCATGGTCTTCTATGGCGAAGACAACTCGGACGAGAACTCTCGCCGCGACTTCTTTGCGAAGTTGGCTTCGTTCCTCATGGAGTGGAAGGTTCGTTTTTACTGCTACTCAGGCTATTGACACTGCTAACAATACCATCAGAAATCGCGAGAGAAGAACACTGCGCTAGAGGAATCCAGGAAACGCACCGAAGCGTCTCTGGCGCGCAAGCGGGTCAATGTTACTCTGGCGAACAGCGTTACCACTCTCCTCGGAATCGCCCACCTCCGCCGCCTCCAGTGGTGCAATGGACTCCCTCCTGGAGAAGTTGCGTGCTGCGGCTCCTCAGGCCAAGGACCAGCGAGATCGTCGTCGTCGTGCTCGACTGAAGGAGCGGCACCAGGTCCGCGTTGCCTCTGGCCAACAGGCCCCCAGTGGTGATGCGGGAGAAGGTAACGAGCGCGAGGATGCCAACGGCGAGACAAGCCTTGCCCAGAATGGTCTTCTGAGTCCCCCGATCCTCGAAGAGGGCGAGGACGGCAGCAAGGAAGTCTCCGAGGGCGAGGACGTTGCCGACCGTGCTGCCAGTATGCTTATGGGGTTGAGAAGCAACTCCGATGCGAGCGGCGAGCGCCAGAGAAGACGCAGAGAAAGTGCCGACGAGGAGCGCCGAAATCGCCGCGCGAGAAGACGCAATGGCGCAACAAGTGGGAGCAAAGACAGTGCCGATGGGTCGGGGCTCCCATCTGTGCCAGAGCCCGAGTCCCCCAGTGCGGATGACCAGCCCCTACCTTCTCCGCCCAATGAAGACGAGTCAGCTTCACAACAGCCGCCCTCGATTGTCGTGTCCGAGCAGCATGATAACGCCGAAGGTTCCTCTGCAAGCCAGCCGATTGAATTGTCGGATTGATTGAGACGAGACGTTACTTGTTCATCACCCTTTCTAATCTAATGTTTGATAGATTCTCATGTCTCTGAATCTTTGTTTTTCTTCTGCCCTCGACTGTATAATACCCTTTCCACCTTCCCCGTTGCCTCAATCGTCCTCCTCCTTGATACATTTCTGTTTTGTCATTTTGATGAGCCTTGGCAAGCATGGTGTGTCTGTCATGATAACATCTTCCATTTCATTTTCCTTTTCTTCTGTGCAATTCTTGTCGCTGTCGGGGGCGTCCCTCATCCCTTTGCATATCCATTATGGTCGTTGGCGCGTGCGGCCTGTCATTTCTCTCTCCTACTACTACTACCCCTCTATCTCTCTCCTTGTACATGATTTCCTACCCTATTTTTGCTGCACTTTCAAGCTTTACCGGGCATGAGCATGTCGCCATGGTCGGATGGGCGCCATTGAATCGCATGAATTGAATGCATTATTGAAGCTGGTTTTTGTTTAGAGTGGGTATAATGAGGTCCTCTGCTTTTTGTATTGGCTTGCTGGATCTTCTAGGAACTACTTCGACAGTGTACATACACTATACTCTACAAACATGGTGGAAAACGCAACAGCTAAGATAATCTTGAATCGCCAGTTCTTCCTTTTAGTATGGCTTCATATGTCGAGTCACGGATGTGAGAATAGTGCTTACGTCCAGAGCACAGCGTAAGCTGACAGAGGTCACAGGTTCGGACTTACATGGGACAAGATGGATAATAAGCCCGGGGCTCACTATTTAGCCGCCGAGGGTGTGCCAGCAAGTAGGGTGACCAGTCCCAAACAGGCGGTATATACGAACATCCTCGGATGCCAGTAGTAGGTGCAAACTATGTACGCACTTTGGGCGCGGGGTTGTCCATCGATGCATAAAAGCGGGGCTTTGAGGGCGCTGGTTGACTGCGGTAGTTAAAAGATCGCCAATTATCATTACCACTGATAGACCACCAAGCTCTGTCTAATAAACTCTCTCTTCTTTTTCTTTCAACCCCATTTATCGTTATGTTGTTAACAGAACAGAATATACTGTTTTGGTCGAATGAGGCCCCAGTTGATTGGGTCACTATATTTTGTATCGGATTCCTTCTTACCATCTACGCCGTACGTGGTTCTTATCGTTTAAATCTCATTACTGTCCGTACTCCTATTGGCTGAGACTGACTGGCTATCCCCTCTAGGCAGCTTATACCTATGGCATGGTAGTCGGGACACTTACGGCAGTGGGATCCCCCCACGAAAATAATGACGAACTCTCGATTCCCGATGTCTATCTTTCCACTCGGCTTGGATACACCTGGCGATTCCGCGGGTTGACAATGGCCCTCCTGATCCGAGGAGTCAAAATTGCTCTATTCCAGATCCCAGATAAGGACGCCACGACATTTTACGGCTGGTTTTTCTATAATATCGTTATAGATCTGATCCTATCCAATCTATATATCTCTATGATCCATACCATCATCTCGCAGCCCTCCTCTCGATCCTTCAACCAGCGGGTTACTAGTTGGACAGGATGGATCCAAGTCGCACCCTCAGCAGCCCTCTGGAGTATTGCAAGGAGTGCCAACTTCTTTGTGCCGCTGGGGTTGCTTAAATACTTTGGTTCACTATCTATTATTCCTGAACGGGTCCAGCTATTTGCTCTTATTGCGTCTAGTGCCATACTCTATTTCGTCTTTACTGTCCCGACACAAGCAATTTTTATCCGGATAGCGGCCTCGATATTGCCAGAATCATGCTCTTCCATTGTGACTCTCGATCGAAGACTCTCTGAAAAGCATCGCTACCTTGGGGTGCTAGCTGCATGGACAAGCTGGGATGGTGCAAGTCGACTCCGCTACTTTAAGGTGCTGGGCAAGGTATTTCTTCTTAAGATGGTTGCGTGGTTTTGTCTCTCTTGGCTAGTTATCAGTGTGTACGTACCTTATACCCGGGAGGTGATATGGGTGTTTGCCTAGAGGTTCCATACGGGAGAGGGCTTCACACGAGAGCCGGATTTCATGCCGCAGCCGCTTGGATCAATGAGGTGGAAAAGAGGTCTAGCCATAACCACATGACTAGAGTTCCAAACTGCAAGACAAATGTCGTACCTTTCGTTTCTTAGTGGCTGATGTAAGATCACGTGCTATCTCACCTTATCGACAGGCAGCGACAACATCCAACTTGCACTGCTGCCTTCTCCTCTCTGTCGCCTAGTCCTGCGCATGCGAGCATCCTGTCCTCGAGCCGCTCGTTGGGCAGCTCTATTCCGCCCATCATGGAACCGATCCCTGCAACCTAACAACCTCCGCCTTGTCCGACACGATGTCGCGATTCCCGCCGTCCCAATTCCGCCGACGAAAAGGCACTGGCGAAGCTTCTCTTCGACCAGACCTGCTCGCTTCCTACTAGATGGGGACTCTACAATCTACGCTCTATCCACTGCACCCGGCAGAGCAGCCATTGCAGTCGTGCGCGTCTCCGGACCTTCCTGTGTATCGGTATGGGGATCTATTGACATCTAACTTGAAGTGTATTTTACTCATGATCACTATTACAAAAACAGATATACAATGCGCTGTGTCCCCAAGCACCACTCCCGAAACCGCGCCTCGCAGCCCTCCGCACCCTCTATGATCCACACCAGGCCCCATCTGCGAACAGCGTCCTCGATGCCGGCGCGCTGGTCCTCTACTTCTCCGCGCCAAGTACCGTGACTGGCGAAGATGTACTCGAGTTCCATATTCACGGTGGCCCGGCCATCGCCAAAGCCGTACTGGGCGCGATCGCGCGAACAAACAACCCCGACACCGTCGTTCGGTACGCAGAACCCGGCGAGTTCACCCGCCGCGCATTCATGAACGACCGCCTCGGTCTACCCCAGATCGAAGCATTGGGGGATACACTATCCGCCGAGACGGAACAGCAACGTCGACTTGCAGTGCGGGGGTCCAGCGACGCATTGCTGAATCGATACGAGTCCTGGCGCCAGCAGCTGTTGTATGCGAGGGGAGAGCTGGAAGCGTTAATTGATTTCAGTGAGGACCAGCACTTTGACGAGTCGACTGAGGAGCTGGTTGGATCGGTTGCGGGACAGGTGCGCGCGTTGCAGACGCAGATTGCGTTCCATATACGCAATGCCTCGAAGGGGGAGTTGCTGCGCAATGGGATCAAAGTTGCGCTGTTGGGTGCGCCTAATGCGGGGAAGAGTTCGTTGCTGAATCAGGTTGTGGGGAAGGAGGCTGCGATTGTTTCGACGGAGGAGGGGACTACGAGGGATATCGTGGATGTGGGTGTTGATCTGGGCGGGTGGTTTTGCAAGCTTGGGGATATGGCTGGTATTCGGGCTGATGCTCTTGGGCTTGGGGAGGGTGTTGTGATTGGGGCTGTGGAGAAAGAAGGTATTCGCAGGGCGAGGGCGAGAGCTCTGGAGTCGGATGTTGTCGTGGTGGTGGTCTCTGTGGAAGAGGATTCCAATGGTGCCAGTCTTTCTGTTGAACCGGAGGTCCTCGACGCAGCAAATGACTGTCTGGAGGCTGGGAAGTGTCTTGTTGTGGCCGTCAACAAATGCGACAGACTCCCTGCTGCCCGGCGAACCGGCGTGCTACCGGAGATGATAGCCAACAGGATCCACGGAGTGTTCCCAGCAATCCCGCAAAACCGGGTTTTCGCTATCTCTTGTGAGGAAGCACAGCGTGGCGCATCATCTTTAACAGAATCAGATCCGGGCAATCTACAAGGATTCCTCCGCGGCCTGATCTCGACCTTTGAACAAATTGCTTCACCCGAGGGCGACGAAAGCGGTCAATATGACACCTCTTATTGGGAAGATTCACTAGGTGTGACACATCGCCAAAGCTCTAATTTACAAAGATGTCTCGACCATCTCGATGATTTCCTGTCTCAAGCGTCTCCTGCTCATCCTCCGCGCGAAGACCGTGACGTCGACACCCTTGAATCCGAGGTGGATATCGTGACCGCGGCGGAACATCTGCGCTTCGCGGCGGATATGCTGGCCAAAATCACTGGCAAGGGCGAGAGCGGTGATGTTGAGGATGTGCTGGGTGTTGTCTTTGAGAAGTAAGTTTCCTGATCGTCATTCGGGAATTAGAGATTGTGGACTGACTGGCTGGATTGCAGATTCTGTGTTGGCAAATGAGCAAGACTTGGCCCTAGAGGATCAGTCTTGCGGCTGCAATGACTGAACGGGATTTTGCAGGGCGCGTCGCCTAGAGCTGCTTCGTCACCGTTGGAACGATATTGGTTCTGCGGGCTGATGCCCGGTTGTCGATTCTCCCTCGCATAGCGATTCTGCCAATGGCTAGTCGCCATTGGCGAATGGTTGCAGCGCATGCGCTGCCGAGTTGGATGGCGTGTTATATCCTCCTCTGCCCATTATGACGAAAGAGGGTTGAAGTACCTCGTGGTGGTGTGGTGAAATGTACGATAGAGAATGACCACTCTCGAGAGCTGGTTTTTGTATCTGCGCTGTGGTACTATCTTATAAATCATGCAAAAAAGAAGCTCTCAGATCATATTTATAAGCCCCCGGGGAATGTCTGCCTTGCACCTGGGCACCCTGTCCGCTGTCTCCGATGAATCATCCCCAGGCACCCACTCACCCAGGGTCATTCACCTGTCTTCCTGATAGTGCCCGGCTTCCATGTCTCTTCTAGAAACGTCGTGGCTGCTTGGAATGTAATGGAAGCGCCCTTTGTTCCTGCACAGACCGTGTCGGCAGGGCTGAGTCAGGGCAGATGGTGTGTGTTTCCATAGTTAGGTAGGCACCTTCCTAAATGAGATCCGGGTTTTGTTCTCAGTTTCATTTTACATCTTTGTTCCTGTCTTTATTTTCTTTGATTTTCATTTATGGTTAAATCTTTTGTCAATAATTCATTATTGAACCCCTTCCATTCTCTTTCAGCTAGCTATTATTACTTGCCCCGTTTTGTTAGAGATTGAGACATCATAGCTTTGGCCCGATCGGTCTTTAATTTCTATTCAGACACGGTGATCTATTATTGTTTTGTTTTGGTCCCCCTTCGGTTGTTCATGAAGGACAGAGTGTATTCTTCAGCGCGTCAGATTCTATTCTTAGATCTGATGATCGCCGCTGTAGGGCTGAACTACATTAGAAATCAAGTCACCTTCCAAGTTGGAGTCATGTCACGCAGACGGGCGGAAGGGACGCAGGCCACCAATCAACAGCGAACGCTTGCTAAAAATAAATATAAGAATCGAAACGTTGTGCCCCTGCAGTATATTTGCTGACATTTCGTTCTCTGCGCGACTGGGACGCCGGTGCCACATTGGTGGGCTGACTGACGGGTATGTAAGCATATTGGAAGTGGTCCCGCTCTGATACAGAATGTGAGACGGGCTGGATGAAATGGTTAAGTGTCAAGTTCAGTCTTGGAATTTGGCCCCTTTGTGTTATCACAGCTGAATGAAGAACGGGTGCTATTCATAGCATGTCCTTGTCGGGCCATGTGGGTTGTCAGTATTACTGCCGCATACCGTTTGATACATATTGAGTTCCAAGATGTTAAAATTGTAGCCTTTTTTACCAAAAAAGAAGAAAAAAGGCCTGACCAAGTTACGGGGGCACATTGAATTCCTCTGCATGTCCGCGTTGCCTTCCCCACTCTTTCATTCCCTCCATGAGGCCGTGGGCAAAGTCCGCGTTGAACCTAGTTCCGGACTCCGGCCATGAAACTCGTCCGTATCTCCACATCGCCCAACTCTCCGCCATAGTTCCCTCCCGGGCTCGCAAAAGGCCCATGGCTATATCAACCACCGGCGGGTGCTGCCGCTCGTCGCAGGAGAAGAAAACAGTGGCACCACAAGTACCGCAGAATGTGCGAAGCACACCCTCGCTCGACCGATAGCTCTTGGATGACCCAATCAACAAATCTGACGCTGGAGTAGGGGATATATGATCGAGAGGGACGAACATCCACCCGATCACATTGGTGCCATTGACCAGCCGGCAGTCATCACAGAAATCAAGGCATGCTAGCCATTTCGTCTTATCTGCCGGGTACAAATAGCCCTTCCCGGCAGGACTGTCGATAAACTCCTGTCGCGGCCGTGAGATGTTGAAGGACACGCCGCCGCAGTGACATTGGGCTAGTAGAGTATCGTCCAGGGGCTGTGAGCCCGCATTTGACAGAGCCGGAGTCTGGGACGCGGCTGATTTATGAACCTTCATTTGACGCCCGCCTACAGAGGGGACCAGCGCTGCGAGCCCTCCATCAGGCGAGTCACTAAAGCAATGCTGGGTGTACATCCACACACTCGGGTCATTGCTAAAGTCGAAGATTGCGCTGGACATATACCAGTTGCTCTCGTCATGCCCCCGGTCCCCGATCTTACAGCCGCAGGTGCTGCAGGAGTACCGGGTACATTGTGACTGCGCATGCGCGTACGCGGTGAGTTTGTCAAGCCCTGACGGCGCAATAAACTGTGGCTCAACACCGTCAGGCAGCATGGAATGAAATGAACAAAGAGACCCGTGTGTGTAGCGGCAGACGCTACAGTGGCAGAGGTAAGCCTTGAGGGGCAGATCTTGCGCTGCAACGGTGATGGTGAAGTGGACGCTGCGGCAAAGGCAGCGCGCAGTCAAAGTCTTGCTTGCAGCCATGGTGATGCTATCAACAATGGAAAATCGACTAGGATCGAGGATCCATGGGGAGATGAGTCCAGAGAGTGGGGTACGGAAACTCGTATTCGGCAAGATGGTTTATCCAGGCTTATCGATCATGTTCATCACCAGAAAGAGAGAAATTACCTGATTCGATACCAATGACCCGAGGAGATACATGACAACTGTATGTACCAAAGGAAGATATTTTGTTTTTAAGCCCCCTCAGATCGTATAATCTGAGGCTGGGATCGTTGATTATCGCTAAATCTCATGCTCACCACGGCTGGACACCATTCACGTTGATGGCTTTCCCCTCGTCAGCATCCCGCTTTCCTTGCACGACATCTTTCACGAAATTCCCCCCAGCTGAGGGATCGAGAGCACCGATCTAGATGTTCATCAGTCAGCCCTGGCGCTTTATAGTTGCGTTTGAAGCTCACCTTCTTCAGAATTTCTGGGCCAATACCGGCCAAACCAGTCGCGAGGAAGCCAGGCGAAACAGCAAAGACTTTAACGCCGTCCTTTTTGAGGATACGATACCACTGTCGCATCATCATATTGAGTCCCGTCTTGGAGCTGCGATATGCCTCTGTTGGATTCAGCGTGCTCGGTTTGGGCCACCCGGCATCCGGCGAAGCGTTGATTGTCGCATACTGCGCATCCATCCGTTCTGTCTCCGCAAGGGGAGATGTGCCGCTCGTGATGAACAGCAGGCGCGGCTGGGCTGATTTGAGCAACAGCGGAACAAAGAGCGAGGTCGTAACCTGGGCGCCGGTGACGTTGGTATCCCAAGTTTTGTTCCAGCCTTCCCTGAGACTGAGTTCGCCGGCTTGAATTGCATGGTCGAAATTGGCGCCAGCGTTGTTGATGAGTACATCAAGCTTCCCGTAGGTCGTTGTCACGTAATGAACAGCGCCTTCAATCGAGGCATCGCTCACGACATCAATTTGAACAACGCTGAGAGTGCTGCGAGTCTGGGGGATCTCTTTTCGGAGCTGGACACTGACTTCCTCGCCCTTCACACGATCGCGACTGCCAATGATAATGTTGTAGGGAATCGACTCCTTGCAGAGCGCTCTGACAATCTCCAGGCCGAGTCCAGTGTTGCCGCCAGTGATAAGGATTGTTTCTGCGGTCTCCATTGTGAGGATTCTGGTTGCTTAGAGTTGGCAAAGATAAGAAAAATTCTTGAGTAGTCTACTAGTGTAGTTAGTGTCGAATGCAGACGGATCGAGCCTGCTTTATGTCTCGAGCCCGGAGATAAAGTTAAACAAACTACGGACATAGTTGAGTGCGTCGAAATGTATACCAGAAAGAGTTTAGCGTTCCCGCTTGAGATGTATAGTGGTTGAGTGCCCGGCAAACAATGATGTCAGACAACACTCTCGCGTTGCCCTGAACATTTCCACCGACTCCCTGCCCTCTTCTAATATCAACACCCCACATTCATTGGAGCGAGGTCACCTTCAGCTACACCTACGAAGCAGGCGCCTTCAAACTGCCCTGGCTCCGTGTCCTTCGACCAGCAACAACCGCCCCGCCTCCCACCTCTCATCACCAAGATCCGCCGCGACTTCACGCCTCTCATCAGCAAGATCCGCCGGGGCCCCTCAACCCTCACCAGCAGGATGGGCGACCTATGATTGCTCGCCGTCTTGCCATGGAGACGTCAGCGACCTACGCCCCGCAACCTGTCCCACAAACCCCGCTATGGAGGAAGAAGAGGTTGAGATGTCTTTTTTTGCGGCTTTGCCTGATGTAGCGGTCACGATCGGCTCAACTGCGGTTTCTATTAGAAACCGGATCCAACGCGAACTAGACAAGACAGTCTTCTGCAAGTACATCGCGTTTACAAACGTTCCTCCAAGTCTCCTCGAGGATAGGAAGCGCCCTATCTTCCCAAAGTCGACTCGGATATTCTACAATCATGATACTAGGCAACTTCTCGTTAAGCTCGTCGCAACGCCTCATGAAATTGCAGAAAGAACACTTGAGTTTGGTGTGAACGCCGAGCTCCTCAGCATGGGATTGGCAACATCGGTTGTCCTTACAGGAAGTGGTCGAATTCGCGGTAACGCCTGCTCTAAGGAGCCCGACGGCACATGGAGACATAAGTCCCTCCCCGCTGGCAGAACGACGGAGTGGCCGTCTGTGGTAATCGAGACTGGAGTTTCCGAAGGCTGGACGCAGTTGAAGAGAGACGCAGAATGGTGGATCAACAACTCTCATGGACAAGTGAAACTAGTGATCCTGATTCGCGCCAATAAATCTCTACCCGAGATCAAATACGAGACTATCATCAGTGGCGCCCCCTCCCCGGCTCTTCGCAGTGGCCGCGTCAGATACCAATGCCTACCGCGGCAGTCGATTGTGCAATCCCGGCCCGTGAACCAGCCTGGGGCGCCTATCACAACTGTTGGGGTAACCCCACTAGTCGTTAAGTTTGATGAGATATTTCTTCGGCAACCAGCGCCACCCGAGCATGACATCCACGTGTCGCTGCAGTGGATGGAACACATTTCCAGGACCGTTTGGGCTGAACTTGGGATCTGAAGACATGTCCCCATTGTCCTGTGAGGTTGTGCAGTGCGAGATGTGAGGTTTCTGTCATGTCCGTACTTCCCAGATAGCTAATGTATCATTATCTTCTTTCCCAAGACTACCTATAAGTCTCTATTGCCCGAATCCGTAAAACAACTACCTTAGGGTACCGTAAAGCACTCCTAACAATTCTAATCGCTCGCACTGCCGGATTTGCCTAATAGGGACGTCGCACGACCCGCCATACAATATTTACAAGGTGGGGATAGCCAGCTCATGGACACCTTCGCGAACTCCATGACTACCCGTACCCACATTCACATCTGTGTCTGGCTCAGCCCGGCCCTCGGATGCAGTATAAACGGAAGAAATAGACTCCGAGTCAGATCCAGAATCAGGGTCTTTGTCATGGCTGGCTTTTTTAGAAGGCACTGACCCAGATTGAGATCTGGGAAGAATTAACTCCTGCGTGGAAGGTATCGTTCGGGGAATGTATGCTGCATCACCCTGTTGCTCCAACACTGAGACGGGGGAAGGAACAATAGGAATAGAAATGCCCGCCCTATACCCATCAGAAGGAGCCTGGGTGGATGGTGACGGCCATCGTACTGGTATAGGCCGAGGAATAAATGTTGCCGATGTCCCAGGAATATTATATTCATGCTGCTGAGGTTCTTCTGCTATTTGTTGTTCAAGTTGTGGCAGGGATGATCTGTCTTGAGATTCTCGCAGCAGTGCCACTAGATGGGCCGGCAGATCGGGCTGATCCGGCTGCCTCAGATCACGAACACCAGTACCCGGCGGCAGGGTGAATTCTTGAGCATATCGACGCATGCCATCTGGTGTCGCAGACCGACTACTGGGTAGCCCCTGTTCCAAATTACCGGGAAGTTCTTGAGGATCTCCAGAATGAGGGATTCCACGAGACATCTGAGCTGGAGGAGGGAACTTTCTCTCATAAGAACCCCGTTGATCCCCGCCACGAAGGTAGCTGGGAACAGCATTCTTGAGAGCGTCGGGATTTTCCAAGGCTTGTCTAAGCAACTGGTCAACTTGCCGCTTTCTCTCATCGGTGATCTCAGACTGTGCGGAGAACCCGATTGCCTCTGGCATGAGAAGCAGATCGGGAATATCAAGATCCGGAATGTGGCTGCACGAGAGAAGCAGCCGTAGAACTTCTGGGTGGCCGTGATACGCTGCGTATCGAAATGGCTGCCATCCATCCTTGTCTTTCCGGATAGTCGACGCTCCCCGGTCAAGCAGCAGCGACACTACATGCAAGTGACCGCCCATGGCAGCCAGACTAAGCGGCGAGTCTTCTCGGAAGCTGGTTCCAACCTTCACGCATAGCGGAGATCCTCGATCGAGCAGTCTCTGTACAGCAGCGACTTGTCCATACCGACATGCAACGCCAAGGGGTCGGTCTCCGACGCCGTCCCGGGCATCAAGTGATGCGCCCTTGTCACATAGGAGATCGAGAAGACGCACCGAGCCTCGTGCGGCGGCGAGGTGTATTGGTCTTTGCTGGAACTGATCCTCGGCCTCGATGTTGGAACCAGTCACAAGCAGCAGATTCGCGATCTCAGGATTATCTGCTAGACAAGCATAATGCAGAGCCGTGAGACCAGTCCTACATTGTTGGCCGGGTGTAACACCGCGGCGTAGGAGTAACTCTACCACCGCGAATTGAGACTGCATAACTGCCAAATGTAGAGCTGTTCGTCCCATACTATTCACAGTTCCCAAGGACTTCCTCCTGTCACTCAAAAGTCTGATAATTTGCTCGTGTCCATTGTACGCAGCCCAGTGGAGAGCCGTCATGCCAGTATCATCGATGCTGTCGAGGGAAGCCTTTTTTTGGAGAAGACGTTCGACAGCCCTAAGACGGCCAGCCTCGGCCGCGCAGATCAGAGGAGTCTTGCGATTTCGACCTGGTGCTTCCATATTGGCTCGGTGATGTAAGACAATCTCCATTGCTTCTAGGTGCCCGCCCAGGCATGTATAATGCAATGCCGTCATCATTGAGCCATCCATAGCTTCCATATCCGCTCCATGCGAGAGGAGAATCTGCACCACCTCGTCGTCGCCACGTTTCGCCGCCGCATGCAGAGCAGTCATATGATTCTCTGCGCGGGCATTGATCTCGGCACCCCAGTTTATCAACATTTGGAGGGCGTTCAACTGCCCACGATCCGCAGCAACCCAAAGTCCAGTCTGGTTTTTGATGTTTGTGGCCTCAAGAATATCACTATCAGCCAGGATTACTTCAAGCACGCCGCAATGTCCACGTGAGGCTGCTAAATGGAGTGCCGTCCAGTTAGAGCCGTCTGTCACGTCGAGTCGAGCGTTGTGCTGGACCAGTAGATCAACTATCTCTTCTTTCCCACAGTGCGAAGCAACTAGAAGAGCATTGCGCCTGGATTGCCAGTGACGAGCCTCGATGTCGCAGCCGCGGTCGATTAGTCGTTCCACTTCATCACGCGAACCAGCTTGAGCTGCTTTGATAATCGGCGGTATAGACGCGCTATCCGCCGCGGTGAGGTCGATGCTAGTATTGAAGTTCGGTTCTCGGGGGCGCCTTCGTCGGCTCAAAGTTGGATTCATAGAAAGATTTGCTGAGCTTCTTGTTGACAGCGAGAAGAGATTCTGACGGCTACGCGGATTCACGCGCTCAATCAACGATGATAACCTTCCATTGTTTCGCGACCCTAAGGATCTCATGGTCCCACGGGAGGCTTTAGAGTCCGACTCTGATCGTCTCATTGAATTCGGGGTAGGTCGAGCGGAGGCTTGCTTAAACGATGCACTCCTCGTCTGCTGCCATGGATGTACCAGCCCGGACGGAGTACTTGGCAAGGTGGCATAACCCTGTTGTTGCGCAGAGACCTTTTCCCAAGAAGCTGATGGTGAATTCATTTCAAGTGTCCCCGTCCGACTGCTATCATAGCCCTGGTCGGTAAATGGACTGTGGCCGCCCGTAGTCGAGTGGCTCTCTGGCGTTGAGATAGCCCGAACATGCTGGGGCTGCTTAGGTCGGCGGTAGACCATTGATGCTGCTAAAGTCGGTTCAAAATCAAACATTTGGTCTTGCACTGATGGTCTGCTGCTGGGAACAGTACTCGACGTCCGTGATATCTGGCTAGCGCGAGTCGACCGAAGCGTGACGGTATCATCGTGGATCTTACGAATGATCTGACGATTAGTCGCTTTTCTAAGCAGTTTCACCTGCTCGGTAGCTGAATGGCTGTCAGAGATTAGTTGAGTCATGTTCGACTAGACAAGCATAATTACTCTCACCATTGACAGACTTGAAGCAATAGCTGTAGCGCAAGCACCTGGGCGTGTAGCCGCCTCTGATGCGCTTGCATAGCTTCTTCATTCCACATCACCTTGACACGGGTTCTGAACCTCATAGTGCCATCATCATGTGTACCTCGCACCAAAGCCGACACGTCCTCTTCGAGCACCTCCATGACAGTCTGACACCCGTCCATGGCAACCGTCAAGCCTTCGAGATACTCCTCCGGCGTCGGGCCATGGGCATTGGACTCAGCCCATTCGCGCAAGCTCGTCAAGGCGGTTCGGATGCATTTTAGCTCACGGATCAAGGATTCGATGGTCAGATCGGCATCATTGAATTTACCGAGTAGCTTGTTTAGCCCGTCGACTGTCGAGAGGAGAGCCCCGGCGACCTGGACGCCTCCAGATATGATGCCGAAGACCGTGGCAGGGTCCATGCTGGGTCTATAGGGACATGTTAACAATCATAGATGGTTGCAGAGAGGAATTGTTGCTGCTCCGACGGGGCGGGCTGAGCAGCTGAGCCGATCGACGCGGGGCTTAGCACCTCCGGGCCAAAGAGAGGTTAAGACGGTAAATAAAACAAGATGAAGATTCAATGATGCGCTTTTTTATTAGAAAATTGGGTTTTGTACATTTTGGTCGCAACACCGACCCATTCTACAACAGAAGCGCTGTATATAGCACAATATAGCTCGGGTATCACGTCAAACGCCAGATTCTACCTTCAATCCGCTCAAGCTCAAGCTCCGATCGCGTTCTTAACCCACTTCTCCAGGCCGCCCTTGGCGATGATCTCCTGCACGTTCGGTGGCAGCTCACCAACCTTGTGCGTCCACTTAGGCCCGTTCGGTCCCTCCTGCACCTCGATCTGGCTGCGGCGCACATCCCAAGTCAACGTCCAGCCGGTGCGACGGGTTAGGGCCTTGCCGTCAGACGCAAAAGCCTCACGTAGACGGTTAATTAGGCGCGGAACCTCAAGCCCCATTAGAGCGTTGTTAATGCTATTCCGCGAGAAGATGTTGCCGAAGCTGCCGGACACCACGAGAGGGATTTGCTTGGCCAGAATGGCAGTGGCGGCTTGCTCGCGCGAACTGCCACAGCCAAAGTTGAAGCCGGAAACCAGGATATCGCCCTGTTTGGCAATTGAAGAGAACTCGGCGTCATAGTTAGACATGCACACCTTAGCCATTGTCTCAACGGGCACGTCGTCCTGGTAGGTGTATTTTCCCGGATAGATCCCATCCGTGTTAATGTTGTCGGCGTCACAGAAGACGATCTCACCAGAGACGCGCTCAGGGAACCCTGGGTACACTTCAACCAAGGCATCGCCTGTCGAAGCTTCGGCCTCGGTCGTCTCAGGGGCAAATTTCTTCTCGCCGTCGGCCACAAGGTCATCGATCTGGCCAATCACCTTCTCAAGAGCCTCCTCCGCTGTGATCATCCGGTCCGGACTCTCACCCTCGCCCCGAATGACACCATCCCAGCCCTCGGGCGCCTGATACCAGCCAGGTCCACAGATTTTACCGTTTAGGGCGCTCGCCGCCACAATCTCAGGGCTAGATAGGTATGCCTTGGCATCCGTCGAGCCCATCCGGCCCTTGAAGTTGCGGTTAGAGGCGCTGATGCCAACCTCGCCGGGCTCAAGAAGACCAGTACCCAGGCCAATGCAAGGTCCGCACCCGGCGGGCAGAGCCGTGGCACCGGCATCAAGCAGAGTCTGCCAGTCACCAGCTTCCTCCGCAGCAATCTGCTCAGGGATAGAAGCGGCGGCAATATAGAACTTGACGCCGTCCGCGATCTTAGGCATTTGACCGCCATTCTTTTCAGCGGCCTCCTTGAACACGCGGGCAGCGGCGGCGATATCAGAAGCGCGTGAGTTCGTACAAGAGACTAGGTAGGCCTTGTCCACCTTGATATCGGCGGCCTCCAGTTCATTAAGAGGAGTAGCCACCTTCACGGAGTTAGGGCCCGACACGTACGGGGAGAGCGAGGAAAGATCCAAGAAGAGCTCCTTGTCGTACTTGGCTCCCTTATCGGCAGTCAAGGGGTTTGCAAACAGCTGCTCCAAACGCGGATGGGTGAACTGTTGCGGGGCCAAGGTCTTAAAAGGGCCATCGGCTAGACCCATGGCGGCAGTCGTCGCCTTAGCCTTCAGCCAGCCCTTCAACACGTCGTCGATAGGGAATAGACCGGTCAGCGCACCCCATTCGGTAGTCATGTTTGCAATCGTCAACCGATCATCCACGGGCAGACTTCGCATGGTTTCCTCAGAACCAGTGAATTCGATGGCGTGATTCAGGACATCATCTTTATCAAACAGCCCACATAGGGCTACAATCACATCTTTGCCCGTCACGCCGGGGGGCATGATTCCGGTCAAGGTGACCTTGGTTTGTGGCGGGATTTGCCACCAACTGGTCCCCGTCGCCCCTATATTTCATATTAGATCCTGACGGTCATGCAAGAGAATCGGGGAAGGGTCCTCACATATACTCGCAGCATCTGTCCGTACGACAGCAGTTCCAACACAACCTAGTCCGCCATACATGTTCGAATGGCTGTCCGAGGCAACTACCATGGTTCCGGGCCTTCCTGTCATTAGCAAAGAATGTGAATTGCAGGGAGAATGCAACATTACCAGGCGAAACCCTCTTCTACCATAATTTGATGTCCGATTCCGCGTCCGGCGGGGTAGAATTCGACGCCATGTAGCTTAGCAAAGTCTTCGATCTGCTGGTATTTCTGTAGGTTCTTCTCGGTCTTGTTCTGCACGTCGTGGTCGAGGGTCATGACAATCTGGTCCGGGTTGTGAAGTTTGGAGGCACCGATAGACATGAACTTCAGAGCCACCGGCCAGGAGTTATCGTGCGTCATGCATCGGTGAGGTGAGATGGTCACATAGTCGCCCGACTTGACGAACTTGTCCTTGGCGAGCCCGACGGAGTACTGCTGAACAATCTTTTCGGTGAGGGTCTGCGGCACGGCCTTGGAGGCCTGCATGGAGGAGAAAACCGCGGCCGTTTCGGGGTCTTCGAGCTGGGAGTGGAAGACTTGCGAGAAAGAGACACCAGTGGAGGCGAAGGTCCGGCGCTGTTGGGTTCTAGCGACAGAACTGGCGACAGAACCGCGCAGCAGGACCCAACGCTTGCCAGCGCTGGCGGATGGCATCAATCGGGACTGCATGAGGAGAGGAAGGTCAGTACCGGCCGGAATCAATTGGGCTGGAAACCAATTAGGCCACGAGACACTCACAGTCATGTTGCGCACCGTCCAACTCTCCGAGCAATTACAGTCAATCAATCAGTCCTTCCGAGTCACCAAGAGAAAAATCATGGCAAATGAGGACGCGGCGATTAGTAGAGGGGATGACTCAGCGGACCGACAGTCGGTGGAATCAAGATCACGTGATAGTGTATCTGCCGATGTCGGAGCGGATCGAGTTCGATGTGTATAGAGTCATGGCGAGCAGAGCAGCGCCGAATATTTAGTTCCAGTAGTGACTGTATTGTAAAAAAAGAAATAGGTCTGATCAGTAGTGCTGTTTCTCTTGTAAAGCTAACTCCTATGTTCGAGTGATTTATTTACTATTTACTATGTACTCGTCCTGGAGAAACACGCGAAGTAACTAGACTCTGGTCAACACGAAGCAGGCCGATCACCACCACCCACCACTGTTATGCTGTTAGGATCAAGAAGTTCTCTGCTCGAGTGTCCAACCAGCGAGCAACCGTTGGTCTCATCAATGGGCTTCAATGGCACCTGACTCATACCCCGCCATAGCTAGCCGCCGGGATTCTCGGCTATAACCGTGCTGGAAGAAGGCCATTTTCACCCGGTGAATCTATAAGGACAAGCCTACAGTCCGCACTTACGATTGTACATATTTAAAGTTGTTGATCCACCGGGTTGCGGGTCGACCTTATTCTCTACTATTTTTTCCTCTCCCGCTTTCCCTTCTTCTTTCCCATAACCCCCACCACTCCCCCGCCACCATCATGCCGACCCGGCAAGAAGTCTCCTACTTTGGAGCTGGCCCAGCGCCCCTCCCAACCCCCGTCGTCGAGGCTGGCGCCAAGGCCTTCGTCAACTACAACGACTCCGGGCTCGGACTCGGCGAGATCTCGCACCGTTCCCCCGCCGCCAACAAGATCCTCGACGAAGCCAAGGCGAACCTGACCACCCTTCTCGATATCCCGGATAACTATGATATCCTCTTCATGCAAGCCGGCGGCAGCGGCGAGTTCAGCGCCGTCGTACATAATCTGGTGGCAGTCTGGGTCGAGCGCCGACGTCGTCGCGCCGAGGCGGATATCTCCAAAACCCACGCCGGCGTGGAGAAGGCGCAGGTCGATGAATTGGTCTTCCAGCGACTGCAAAAGGAGGTCGAGGAGGAGTTGAAGCTGGATTATCTGGTGACGGGTTCGTGGTCGCTCAAGGCGTCGCAGGAGGCAGCCAGACTGGTCGGCGCGAAATATGTGAATGTTGCGCTGGACGCGAAGAAGGCCAATGGTGGGAAGTTTGGCACCATCCCTGCCGAGGAGACGTGGTCGTTGACTCCAACCAAGAAGGAGGGCGGCAATGGCTCGGCATTTGTCTACTTCTGCGATAATGAGACGGTGGATGGCGTGGAGTTCCAGAGTTTCCCCAAGTCTCTGGAGGCGCAGGGCCAGGATGCCGAGGATGAGCGGCTCGTGGTGGCCGACATGAGCTCCAACTTCCTCAGCCGGAAAGTCGATGTCCGCAAGTACGCGGTTATCTTTGTACGTGTTCTCTTGGTTCCTCCATGGCTGCAACTTATTAACGCTCTATACAGGGTGGCGCACAGAAGAACGTCGGAGTGACCGGTATCACCATCGCGATTGTCCGCAAGGATCTACTCCCACCTCAAACCGCAACGCCTCCAGCTGCACTCCTGCAGCGACTGAACATCGGCGGTCTGCCGGGCCCCATTGTGTTCGACTATGCCACAATCGCCAAGAACAATTCGCTCTACAACACCCTACCCATCTTCAACCTCTGGATTGCCGGCCAGGTCATGGCCGATCTCGTGACTGCATTCGGGGCCCAAAGAGTCAGCGGCCAGGAAGAGATCGCCAACCACAAGGCAAAGCTCATCTACGACGTCATGGACAAGTATCCGCAGGTGTACCAGGTGGTGCCGGACAAGAGCGTGCGCAGCCGCATGAACGTTTGCTTCCGGGTCCACGGCGGTGACGAGGTCAAGGAGAAGGAGTTCCTGGCGGGCGCGGAGAAGCGATTGCTCCAGGGTCTCAAGGGTCACCGCAGTGTTGGCGGTATGCGCGCTAGCAACTACAACGCTGTTCCACTGGAGAACGCGCAGAAGCTGGTCAAGTACCTGGAGGACTTTGCGACGGGCCAGTAGATGAGGCTGTGGGGTGGATGGGACCTTCAACCCGGGGCATTCGAGAGAAAAAGGTGACGTGATGACATGAGACAGAACAGTGGCTACTGTTTTATTCAACATAACTCCCCCAGTATATGCAAATATGCTACAGACATCTCTGGTGGTAATACAACATAATGACATTAAAGCTTCCACACGGCCCATTCTTTCAGATCGAGCTCTTTAATGATTCCCTGGAGTGGTCCCTGGAGCTCTTTGCCCTGGGCCCACAGCTTGGGGCCGGCCATATAGCTGATGAAGCCGTCAGGACCCGAGACCATGATCAGTTTGCTCCGGCGAGAGCTATCTGCTGGGCGGGTAGATTCGGTGAACCTTAGGATATCCTTGGTCCCAATGAATGTGTTTTGCTCGTCCAAATAGTAGTCCACGGTCACTTGGCCCGGGTATTGTGATTTCAGGGCTTCCAACTCACGCACAATCAGCGAAGTCCGTTTCTCTTGCTCGGGAATGGTTGGGGGAACGGTGGCACTGCTGCTCTCAGACGCTCCAAACCATCCACTAAACCAGGATCGATGAGACGGTGAGGGGTTCTGCAAGGTATCGCTTTGCCCACCAAGACAATCCTCGCTTCGACGATTCGCCCACAGAATATGAATCCTAGGTCGGGCCTCGCCGCGCCGGCTGAGCAATGAATAGCCCGCCTGCAAAGCGGGTGCGATGCCTGTCCCGCCGGCAATAAATAAAATATCCCGTGTATCCTCCGGAATAGCACACTCAATCTGCGGTCCTCGGATCTCAACCTCGGCCCCGATATCGAGGTTATGCAGGTACCTCGAAACCTCGCCAAAGGGATCTTTCCGGATGAAGAACTGCAGATAGCCCTCGTTCTCCTCATCCACACTTAGCGTTGTTGCTGCCGTCGTCGGTAGAGGAGTGTAATCTCGCCCGATTTGCAGCTGCGGCTGCTTGAACATCACGCTCCAGATCCCGGTGCGCCATGCTTCCTCGTAAACATCATAGTTGGCGGCGCTGGGTGTCCGAGGGCAGAGCGTGAATATGCTGCTAGTCGCGGAGACCGGTTCGCGCGATACGAGACGGTACTTGGTGAATGTGTCCGGGTTCAAGGTCGCTGAAGAATTCGAGGTTTCCGAGCGGTAGTAGGCGCCTGCGCCGGCTGCTGCGGTCCCGACGGCAAGAACGCCTAGCCAGCGGCGATGTTTAGGGGGTGATGGTTGTGAAGGCGCAGAAGTCGAGACTGCTCTTTGTGGCCGAATGAATAAAGAATGCCTGCAGCTACGGCACGGCACCAGGGGGTTCATGTCCGAATCGTCGTGGTCAGACCGAGACAAAGAAAGGAAGAAAGAGATCGAGACCAAACTGACTTAGTCACGTCACGGGGGATCGACAATTAAACCCCCTTGTCCTTCCCTTTCCTCTTTTACTGCTTTAACCGATACACACTCCCGGCAATGGAGTCTCCTGCCTGTCTCTCCTGACTCGATTTATTATTTTCAATCCAGAGAGAATGTCGCATATCGCATTCTCACAAACCACCCAGAATGGCAACCTCGCCGCCCCGAGAGACTCCCTCGAACTCGCCTCGCTCGCCTCCTCCTCGCCCGCCTCAGTAGATGGGACCTCGCGCTCCTCGTCACCAGATGGCATTTCGTCCTCGCGCAAGCTCTCACTCGAAGACGAAGACCCGCTCGCCGAATCCCACCTCAATGCAGGCTTAGAATCGGGCCATCAGCGGCCCATGCGGTCTTATTCGGTCTCCTCGGCCTTTGATTTTGGACGAAATCTCTTCCCGCTCTCGCAAACACAGGCTGGGTATGCTCCTCTGGGGTCGCCGACGGCGCTACATCAGCAGGCGGATGGGTCGTTGGAAAGGAATAAGACCTTGACATACCTGAATGGTCTGTCGCTGATCGTGGGGCTAATTATTGGTTCCGGTATCTTCTCGTCTCCAAGTGAAGTGAATGCGCACGCTGGATCACCGGGCGCCGCGCTCATTGTCTGGACAGTGGCTGGGGTATTAGCCTGGACCGGGGCGGCCAGCTACGCAGAACTGGGAGGTGCGATCCCGCTCAACGGAGGCGCACAGATTTATTTGTCTAAGATCTTCGGAGAATTGATGGGCTTCCTCTTCACGTGGTGCGCAGTATTGGTCCTGAAGCCGGGGTCTGCCGCAATCATCTCCATTATTTTCGGCGAGTACGTCGTGCGTGCGTTTATCGGTGCCGATGTGGAAAGTGTCAGCCCGTGGATCAACAAGGGCGTCGCATTTGGCGGCCTCTTTGCGGTGACTTTGTTCAATTGCATTTCTACCAAGGCTGCAACTCGCCTGGGAGACTTGCTCATGTTCTTCAAATTTGTTGCCCTGCTTGGTGTCACCGTGACGGGCATTGTCGTGGCTGTGACGGGGCTATCTTCTCAAGGCAGCGCAAGCAAGGACTGGAAGACGAGCGGCTGGTTCGAAGGAACGAGCACAGAAATCTCCGATTTTGCAGTGGCCCTGTACGCAGGACTCTGGGCGTTTGACGGCTGGGATAATGTAAGTTGATCAAATTTCGGTTATGGCCTGCACTGACACGATGACCAGACCAACTACGTGACGGGTGAGTTCAAAAACGCAAAGCGCGACCTGCCGCGAGTGATCCACACGGCAATGCCGCTCGTCATCATCTGCTATCTGCTCGCGAATGTCGCATACTTTCTGGTCCTGGATCACGATACTCTCCAAACCAGCAACACCGTCGCCGTCCAGTTCGGTGGGAAAGTATTCGGTCGCGTTGGCGCCCTCATTCTCGCTCTGGTTGTGTCCGGCAGTTGTTTCGGCTCGCTAAACGCCACCACCTTCACCAGCGGCCGACTGGTCTACGCAGCTGGTAAAGAAGGCTACCTCCCGTCACTATTCGGACGCCTCGGTCTGCGTAACGAGACTCCCTCCTCGGGCCCCCCGGGCGGTGGCAGACTTCAGCGTCGCTCCTGGGCTCGCAAGTCTATCTCGAAACTGTTTGGGGACGAGGCCCGTCTTGGATTCACCCCAATCAACGCCATGGCCTTCAATGCAGCCCTGACGACCATCTATATCGTCATGGGCGAATTTGAGACATTGGTAACATTCTACGGCGTGGCAGGCTACACCTTCTATTTTCTGACCGTGCTGGGCTTGATTGTCCTACGCATCCGTGAACCCTACCTGGAACGCCCATATCGCACATGGATCTCCACCCCGATCATCTTCTGCTGCGTCAGTTTGTTCCTCTTGAGTCGCGCCGTCATCGCCGAACCATTACAGGCGCTCATCGTGGTTGTCTTCATTATCACCGGTATCCCGGTCTACTTCTGGCGCATCTACCAACGAGATGGCAAAGATGCGCTTCCAAGTTGGAAGTTCTGAAATGGCGCTCTAGGTAGCCTCTCTTCCTCCCTTTTTCCTTCGTGCTTTGATCGTTTTTGATCCTTATGAATTGATACCCATGCATATAATCCGGGTGTATTGCGGCAAGAAGCAAAGTCCGATCTGGCTTTGTTTCTATTTCTCTTTTGCGGTCATGCAATGGAGCCTGTGGACGGTGTACGATGTGATGATGGTGACTTGACTCACGGCGGGTGCATCTTGCTTATTTTGGTTCTTTCCTGAGCTCTGTTTTAATATATCATTCTTGCATTCATCCCCGCGCGGATGCCATGCAATCTTAATTACTTAGCATCTATGTGAAAGACTCTATGCTTTTGTATCGATTATACGCCAAGCCCGTCCCACGACTCACCACGGACAAGAACCGCGGCCGGTTGCGGGTCATCATGTATTGAGTTTGCAAAGAATCGGAGCCTGTAACACCGGTCCGCTGGATGATAGATTCGAGTTGAGATGGCTGTCCGGCCATTGAGGAAGACCTCCAACACGCTCCTGTCGAAGAAGGCATGTACACGGAGAGACTCTTCTTGTTCCTCTCCCTGTTCGTTCAAGTACGTGAAAAGTGTGTGTGGTGCGGACTCGAATCCATGGTTGATATTGTCGCTGGCAGGCTGGGGACGGCGAATTGTGAATGTTTCATCCTGAGGGTTCCAAGAGAGGGTGGTGCAGTGCTTGAAATCTGAGTGGTAGACAGTGTGTCAATAATGCAAAAACACGAGCGGGCGAATATCTTACCGGAGCTATGTGCAATCTCGATGCCAACACGCTCACACATTTGACTGACAGAGAATTCGGCATCCAGTTCCCATCGAGATGTTGTCAACGGCATATTGGTAGAGATACCGTCGCTGAGAATAGGCAAAGATATGCTTCTCAATTGGCTCTTCCGTGCACCCTCTCGAAGTCGCCCAAGTCGTGGATCAGGGCGTATTCCGAGAGTACGAATTATGACTGTGTCAGACCTGGACGAACTAGGCACGACTTCAATCGAGGTGATGGAGTCCAACTTCGAGCTGCGCGCTTTAATAACATGATGTATCGTCCTCAACTCCACCACCCGTGGAAGTGTAATCAGGCCGCTCCATCCCTGTCGATGGCGGAGGGTATCAGGAAGATCTTCCTCCGTAATCCATCCAAACACAATCTGCCGCGAAGCCTGAACATCCCAGAAGGAATTCGCGGCGTAGTAGCAGCCGTGATCGAAGATTCCAGAAAACGCATATGTTGTCAATGTATCATCGGTGATGTTCTTGCATTCTTTGGGTTTGACAGACATCCAAAGTTGCGCGCGCGCAACACGCCGGTGCCAAGCTGAATTGGGATCCTTGTGAAGACTGGAAGATAGACACCCTTCAGTTCCCATTATGACAAAATCTCGAGACACGCCGGCAATATCTGCCAGAGTCATGAGGTTGCCAACCTCCCAATTCACGCCGAAATCACCCGACCAACGCGATGGACTGAAATTCAATCCGACATCAATTAAAGGACCGAGGTATTTCCATTTCCGCAAGTCGGTGGGCTGGACGGCGTAGACGAAGATAGTGGGAGTTTTTCCCGTAATACCGCCCGAGATAAATCCGTACAGAATTGGTGAATCGTTCTGCTGCTGTTGGCTTCCACTCCAAGCTGTAAGACACGGATCCCTCCATCCAGTCACTTGGATATTTTCAGGCGGACCCGTCAAGATAGGATTACAATCCTGTCGCAGCCACGTCTCCCCATTATCATGCGAGACCGCTAAACTAAGAGACTCGCAACCACGGACGTACGGCAACGTGTAATGGATGGGAAGACGCCTCACAGAGGTGTAAACCATTGTGAGAGCCTTAGGCTGCCCGTAAATATCAGTTGCTCGTAGGCATCCTGTGAAGACGCCACAACGGTCATATTCAGCAGACGGCGTCAAGACCGGATGCGACGATATCTTCCACAAAACAAGGTCTGAAGAGGTAGCATGGCCCCAGGAGATGTGACCCCAGTCGTTACCGTATGGATTCCACTGGAAGGAGAGATGATATACTCCGGTTGCAGGATCATATCCAAGACCACAAGGATCATTAAGCCACCCATGGGGCGCGGTTAAGTGGAAAGAGGGCCGGCGTTGCGAAATTGTTTCTATATGGGCATCGTGTGGCTTGCCCAGAGAATGCGGCTGCTTTTCTTCAAGAACATGTAGGTCCCGATCCGGTGCGCTTGTGAGAACCGACATGTTGGGCTTGGTATGTGTTCTCAGCAAAAAAAGGTAAGAAGAGCTGGATGGATGGAAACATTGAGAACTCGTATCTGCTCTCACATGGTTCCGCTGGCATGCAAATTCCTCGGCAAAACTAATCATGTAACATCGAACTGCGGTGATCCTATTGTTGTTCAAAAAGAGGGGATATCACTTCGACGTCGTCTCACCGGGACTTGGTCGGAGGCCCCCTCGGCCTCCACGGAGGATCCTCGGCGAAACCCCTGGCAGCGACAGGATCAACGGCGATTTTGGCGACCGTGGGAAATGCACTGCAGCTTTGCAGACCCTGGTAACCGTGCAGATCGTCGACCGCGGAGTCGATGACGCCCTGGGGTTCGGAGAAACTCCATTAATAATAAACCCGGGGATGAGCGGATCTGGGGAATCAAACTTCACGACATGCGATCAGATCTCCTAAACTTAATGTCTTCGCCATATAAACCATGAGCACCCCCCACGCCGGTGGCCGTCGGGGGCGTTCAAGCTTTGCACGTTCGCTTCGGTCCATCATGTCTCGCGAGAAGCAGGACCTCGAGGTCCAGCACCTTGACTTTTCTTCTTCATCGGAGCCGCTGAGATCGCAAGGCCGCGCGATTAACCCGCTCTTGGTCTTTGCATGCGCTGTCTTTGGGGCAGCTTCGTTCCTGTTCGGGTATGATGATAAGTTAATCTCGCCCGTTGCGGCATTGACGCCCTTTGTGAGCATATTCCCGTCTCGTCTTCAATGCAAGCACTGACTGCCTATACTCAGGTCGCCAAGTTCCAAGGACTCAATCCGGCCACCGCGAAGTATGTACTTACGGCGCGCAACCAGAACCTGATATTCTCTGTGCCTCTGGTCGGCTCCATCATCGGCGCCGTCGTCGCTTCGCCGTTGAACTTTCACTATGGCCGGAAATGGCCATTGGTCGCTGCCTACATCATCTCCGTGGGCGGTGGCTTGCTCCAAGTCCTCGCCCCTAATCTAGGTGCCTTTGTAGGAGGGCGGTCGATCAGCGGTTTGGCCATGGGCATTGCCAATGCTACGGCGCCCTTATATCTGTCAGAGGCAGGTCTGCTCTCGTTCTCAGAACAATTGCCGTCATTGCTAACTCACAATAACAGGTCGTGCCCGCTTCCGTACGAGGCCGCAGCGTCAGCTCAATCAATATTCTCAACCTAACCGCCGGGGTTGTGGGAACGGTGATCGTTTTCGGCACCGAGAAGCTCGAGAACCACCTTTCCTACCAGATTCCACTAGCCATCCAATGCGTCATCCCCGTCATCCTCTTCGTACTCACTATTCCGCTCCCCGAGAGTCCGCAATGGCTCGTGTCAAAGGGGAACATGAAGCGCGCACACCACAACCTCCGCCGACTGCGCGGGTTCAGCGATGCCCAGGTCGAAGCCGAGCTACGTCTCATTGCGCTGTGCGAAGAGAACGAACGCGAGCTGCGGTCCGATGTCAAGTTCTGGCACATCTTCCGCAGAGAACATCTCAAACGAACCCTCACGGCGGGCTCGTTTTATTCTCTGAATCAGATCTCCGGCATCATCCTCTCAACTACCTACACGACCGTCTTCCTCACGGAACTGGGGATCGGTGATGCTTTCTCACTTACTATCATTGCGTCCTGCTGTACTTTGGCTGGCACCATTGCCGCGCCATTCGTGATCGATCGCGCCGGGCGCAGACCGACAGCTTTCACCGGAATGATTGTTTTGTTCGTCATCGATGCATTGGCAGGCGGTCTCGCCTTTAATACAAATGACCCACACTCCACCATGGCCATTGCCGCATTGTCATTCATCTTCAACTTCTTCTGGGCCTCGTCTTTCTTCTCCCTATCTAATCTGATGCCCTCAGAAATGGCCACCCCAAAGCTCCGCCACCATACCATGTCCTATACTATCGCCTGCGCGCAGACCACTGCCGTGATCACTACGCTTGCGGTTCCGCAGCTTACCTCCGCCGACGCGGCGAACCTCGGTGCAAAGACTTATCTGGTCTTTGCGGGCTGTATGGCTGCTATTATTATTTTTGTATTTTTCTTCATGCCTGAAACGCGCGGCCGGACATTTGCCGAGATTGATGAGATGTACGCTGCGAAGATTCCCATGTGGAAGTGGCGGAACTATAAGACATCGGTGGAGGCGAGGACTGGAAGCGCCGTTTCGGACGAGTCAGAGAAGTTCAAGGCTGTCTCCTGTACATAAATCCCTGTCATTACAGCAGTGCGGGTGGTTTGTGATTTCGTATATACAACAGCTCGAAACATGAAAACTTGTTCCGGAGACTGCTTGCTCATGGAGACATATTATTTATTATACATAAAGATAATCATTGCTGGGGCCAATCTGGGATCTTGTCCTCCAGAATTCGTAATGACCGCAGGTGAGCTCTGAACTTTTCCAGAAATGGATGGCTGCCTCCCCGGAATGTCGTCAGTAGCAGCAGAAAGTCCTCTGCAAGGCCATGTGGCGTTGTGGTGTTAGAAATCGATGTCATTCCGGAAGCCATGTTCATGTTGCAAAAGACATCAATTGCACCAGTGGCAATATCGAACAATTTCTCCGCCTAGGTTGGATGTCAGTTAACTCCCCAAAAACATAATAGCCATATGGCAACATACCAATCCAATCCCGTGGGCCTCCATAGAACTAAGTCGTAATGACACACAGAGCTGGAGAGTCGACTCTGCAACGGAGACCGGATAATGAAAACTCAACTCCGGCCGCTCGGAACGATCACTCAGGAGACCATGAGTCGAGCACAGAAGCCAAACTCGGTTCTGAAGCCATTTTTGCGTGATGAAAACATCCGCTGCCTGTGTTTCGCGCAGGCCCATAGCCATGAAAGCGTGATTCGTCTCCGAGCTACGGCCAGCCTTGGCTCGCTCAAACCAGTCATACCCTTTGTACCGTTCACCCTGATTGATACGGTCGAGATTTTGATGAATTGACAGTGCCTTGGCTGCAGTGAGCTTGTGGCAAAAGCCGTTGTTGATATCGCATCGTCGGTTCCAGCAGTCGATGACATCTTCGTCGATGGCGTCAAATAATTCCATCAGTCGTGCCAGACCCATCATTCCTTCGGCGTCTTTTTCGTTGTGCACAATTATTCCAGAGACCAGGCTGTTCGAGGCGTTGTGGATGAAGTCGTGTACTGAGCGCATGCTGAATCCGGGCTTTCCCCAGAATGTGATGGGATGTCGCCGTTGAAGAGCGTATGCTCTACAATAACATGTTAACAAGTATTTCATAAAAGTGAACAGGGGCTTTTTATACCTTTCTGTGATCGATAGCACAAGATATGTTCGTAATCGCTGACCCTTTTCTTCTCCAGATAGGTCACGGTAGGAGTCTGGATCATTCAGCCCCATCGTAGCCGCAAGATCCAGGGCTTCTCGGAGTCGCAGCCACGCTGCGTTATGCTGATTACTGCCAAAGAGACAACCAAAATGAAAGAAACTCGTCAAGACCGCTTCGATCGTGGGATGTTCCCCGAAATCGGAGCAGCTCCGCATTTTCGTGGCTGCCTCCATCATGGATCGTGCCTGAGAAGCGCGGGATGAAGTCGTGGGTCGTTCATTAATTTCGATCGGTTGTGTAAGAGAGAAAGCGCAGAGAGACAAAAGCATTGCTCCAAACTGAGGGTTCTTCCGATGCTCTTGGGACAGCATCCGTGTGAAAAGCGAAGACCGGTTTAGCACCGGCAGGGTTGGGTGCAGTCGGTCAAAGTAGACATCAATCCAGGGGATCATGTTGGCTTCGATGATTGAAGACGGCCATGTATCTGGCTCTTGGCTGTCTGATGCCAGTGAGCCCACAGTCGGGGAAAAGGGCATGCTTTGAGAATCCTGCGGAGCCACGCCCATGGCAGATGCATCGGACACGGGCTGCACGATGGAAGGAAGAGATGGTTTGAGGTAGATATTGCTCCCCTGGAACCCGAACATGGGCACTTGGGCATCCAGGTTATCTGGCAGCCAGTACTCCACGTCAGTGGGCTCGTTCCAGCTCATTGCACTGCTGCTGTGAGAATCTAAGGGGCTCGCATCGGCCGTCCAGGGCCCTGCGACAGAGGTTGGAGCTCCTGCGGGCGGCATCCCGCCTGATCTAGAAATGGACATGGCCACTTCGCCATGCGGTGGCGTCCAAGAGGCACCCGACATGGACGCCGGCCGAGCGGGGTCGATCGAGGGCGATGCCTGGTACTGAAAGGCATCTTTGGGGGATTCTGGAGGACAGCTCCCCAGGGTTTGCAGCTGGCGAATTTGCGACACGCGACTGGAGAACGGTGAGCTGCATACTCATTCCGGCAATTTCGCACTTACTGTCCGGTTGGACCGCGCTTCTTCTGGGGCTGGAAAAAGGTACAATCAAAGCCCATGGACTCGCAGGCCTTGCAGGGCTGCGACAAGCTACACTATTTGGTCGGGGATTCAGCCTCCGATGCGCTGACCCAAGGGGGCCGGAGGGATTTACCTTAATCTTTCGGAACTTGCACTGGTCGCATGCGCGCTTGGCGATACTGGTCGTTTTACGCGACCGGATCGCCCCCGGGACCGCGCCGGGCGAACCCGTACTGGAGCTGGAATCCATGTCGGGGTGAAGTGAAAGAGGCGGAGTTTCGGAGTGGATGATTCATGGAGCTCGACCCACGTTAAGAGCCCCGCCCAACTACAGCGGATGTGAACGAGATGAAGAATTATTACATAGTAGTAGCACTAGTACTTGCGGATCGCCAGCTGATAAATGCCGGGGACAGAATATCCCCATGGCCCTGCTCCTCCAACTTGAACACTTCAATCACCGGCGACTTCTCTTGCTTGCGGATCCTCCATGTCCCATCCTCCTGGATGGTCTGTTTGAGCCCTGCATCGGAGTTAGCTCGGTTGGACCATACACGATATAGACCAATACTGACATTCGAGAAAGGCTGCCGCAAAATTGATGCAAATATTCCCATCCCAGGTCCCTCTGCCGACCTTTTTCACTTTGCCGGGAATACTCGCTGTCTCGAGCTCCTCCAGGCTGCGGACAATCCCATTTTGGTCGCGGAACCCTACAATGATCTTGGGCACCCCCAGGAGAAACGATTGCGCCCAGAATTTGAGTAGTTTGCGCTCATACTTGACCATGTCGCGATCGTTTCGGATCTCCGCGGACGTCTTCAGCTCAACCCAGTGAATGGGATCTTCTTTTCGATCCGGTTTGCAATCCCATACTGTTCTGGTTAGATGCACCCGATACATGAAGACCTCGAAAACATACCAGCATCCACCTCCCCGCCGAGAATCATGCGCACCTTACCCATCCCGGTGCGGGCCACAGAACAATACTGCGCGCTGTTGTTGACGACTGCTTCCTCACGCCCTTCAATCTCCTCGCGGGAGGACGGATCCCACGGTTGTCGAAGCACCGATATGGCTTCGAATTTGTAGCCTGCGCGAGTCAGTCATAGCCAGTCAGGAAGCAAAATGATAGCGTACCCCAGTACATCATCAGTTCCTGGGACGCCATCCCTGGCGGCATCCTTTGATTGCGCTGGATTTCCTTCTGTTGGTTTTTATAGGCGTTATTTTCTTCAATAAATCTGGGTTGTGTCAACAAGGCATGCTATCGTCAATGTTGAATTAATACGCACATGGTACCCTGTGGGAAAGTTAGTCAAGGGAATTCACTGGCAGCCCGGATTGCCCTACCTGGAAGCATGTCGCATTCATTTCAAATCTGAGGAAATTCATTAGTCTCGCATAGTCTCGAAGCTAAACCGTACATACCCATTCGTCATATCATATGGAGTAGCCAGAATCTGCAAATTCCGATCAACAATCGATCGCTCCTTGTTGGTCTGGATACACTCACCTTGGTCATCATCCCTCGCCAAGTCACGATGTCGGCTTCGCATTTCTTCCCAGTCTCTTTCTCATGGGCAATGATCGTTTCCAAGAGCGCGTCCAGATGTTCATCCGCGACATCATCGAGCTTCTGGAAGGTGTCAAAGCCAACATTCAGGTCCGCCGGCAGACGCGGCGGATAGTAGTAGGACAGGGATGCATCTCCCAGCGAAAAGCGGCGCTGATCATCATACGAAAAACTGGCGATTTCCTGTCCAAATGCGTTATTCGGATTTCTTGACATGTGCAAGGGCGTGAGCGAGTGGTTCTTACTTTGGGTCGTCGGATGGTCGTATTGGAACCGCCGAAGCGGTGCACGGGCTGGATGTCGAATGTCGCCCGGTTCATACTGGTGAAGAGATATTTATCTCATGTCGGCATGGTCGAAATCGTACATGTATGTATGTATGTATGTGGAACAATAGTTGGGTAGTCTCCAAAGTAGTGCAAGAGGCAAGTTCGTCCCCACCAAAAGTGGCAGAACTTCTCCCCTTCTTTCTGTCACCACCACCACCCCAACCAGCATGACTTCCCGCATCGACAAGACAATCGCTCGCCAGCGAGAAAAGTATGTCCATATATACTACATCTCCTTATCCCCATCGTGACTGACACTCTCTGTTAGAATCGCCTCCGGTGCCTACTACGAAGCCCACCAACAGCTGCGCGTCATTGCGGCTCGGTACATCAAGGCTGCTAACTACGATGCAGCGGCAGACCTCCTAGCTGGCGGTGCGACGGAGCTACTAAGAGCCGGTGCCCAACAGGGCGCCTCGGCCAGTGGTGGAGATCTAGCGATTATGCTGGTCCTGGAGGTGTACAACAAGGCGGAGTGGGAGATCTCCAGTGCGGCGGATGATGCGCAGACCCGGACTCGGAAGAGTGAGTCTCTCATCTGCGCCACGCTCGTTTCTTGGTGTGCTAACTATCTATGCGATTTAGAGCGTCTCATCGAACTGCTACGAGAATTCCCCTCCGAGGAGCCGACGCGGAAACGGTATATCCAGGAAATCATTGGATGGAGCGGGAAGTTTGGTCCCTTGGAGCGAGGAGATCCGGACTTGCATCACGCCGCTGGCTCTGTCTACGCCGAAGGTGGGTTTGTCTTGGTGTCTGATTGCGATGGCATTGCTGACATGGCAGGTCCAGATAACGACCCATACGATGCAGAGAAACACTTGATTCTAGGAACGTCGGAGTCCGCAGAAACCCTGGCGAAACTCGAGTATGAGTGGTACACCAGCGACGACCCGCATACGGCAGCACTCTATGCCTCGCGCGCCGTTTTCCCCTACCTCCTGACCGGCAACCTCCGCAGCGCGAACAAGGCGCTTCTCATCTTCACCTCGCGGCTATCCACCTCGAACCCCTCGTTGGGCGTGCAAGAAGTCAGTAGCGCCAGCTCTGACATACGTGTATACCCCGCGCTTCCGTTGCTGAACTTCATCAGCCTGTTGCTGTTGGCCGTTCAACGCGGCAGCGCGGATCTGTTCCGGCAGCTCACCGCACACTATGCGGCGCAGATTCGGGAGGTTGGGATCTGGGATGATGCCCTGGCACAGATGGGCGAGCAGTACTTTTCCATCAAGATCCCCAGACAGGGTAACCCGCTGTTGGATATGATGGGCAGCATGTTCTTCGGCGGTGGCCAGGATAACGCCGGCGGGCGAAGGGCGCCGCAGGCCCGGAGCCCAGCGAAGAAGGTCGAGGCTCCGCCATCCAACATGGAGCTTGATTAGCGAAGTGCACCAGTTCCCGTCCATAGTTGTAATGAAATAAAGCCCATGCAAGAGACAACATTAGAGACGGGCATCGTTTTCGGGCTCGAACATCCAATTGTCCTCGTCGAGGGACGCCACTTTCTTGCGCAGGCTGTGATGGACAATATTCAAGACCTCTGGTTCCAATTTAGTTAGAAATCCATCCATTCCAATCAACCAAGGGGCGTATTGCTCACCGTCCGGTTCATCATCGCTGGACTGTCTATTGCGATGGCGAATCATCATTTCTACCAGCGCGGCCTCGAACTCTTCTCTGTATTAGTCGAATATCTCTCCTAAACAAACACCAGAAAGAAACGCACTCTCTTTGTCTCTTCCCGACAGCTCCGACGAATCAATCCCCGCCGCCCCATCCCCATCGGCGTCCAGTTCCCCCAATTCCTCGCCATCCTCCCCAACCAACGGCTGCGGCAACGCGGGGGTATCAAGCTTGTAGCCACCGTTCTTGTCGCGGACCACAATCTCCTTGTTTTCGGTGTTCTTCACACTGCGCGTCGAGGACCCCGAATCCGACGTCGTGGGCTTGAGTCGGTGCGAGGGGCGGTTCGCGAGACCGCTGCTGGTGCTAGCCGTGGACAGGGCGCCATTGGGTGGACCGGCAGAGGCTGGCCGGCGGCTGAGGTTGTGTTCGAAGATGTTGCGCCGGACAGAGGTGGGCGCCATTGCTAAATCAGGAGTAAAGAGTGTGGAGAGGGTGTTAAGGATAGGAATAACAGCCGGTGAAGACGTGTAGGTGTAGAGTGGGAGTTAGGTGATAAGCGCTTATCGGCGACGCGCTTCCTGGTTCTTTCCCTTTTCGCGTCCACTTGATCGTCTCTCCTTCCCACAAACAACCATGGTGCAAGCTGAGTCCTCATCCAGTGCCGCCCGCAATGGAGTCAAGGCTTCAACGGCAGGAGCTCCTGCAGATTACGAACTCCCCTGGTCAGTATTTTCGTCTCCTTTTTGGGTTGGCCTGCTCTAACCTCCTCCGCAGGGTGGAAAAGTACCGCCCCATCTTCCTCGACGACATTGTCGGCAACACCGAGACCGTCGAGCGCCTCAAAATCATCGCCAAGGATGGCAACATGCCGCACGTTATCATCTCCGGCATGCCCGGTATTGGAAAGACCACCTCCGTCCTGTGTTTGACGAGACAACTGCTAGGCGATGCGTACAAGGAGGCAGTTCTGGAGCTCAATGCCAGTGACGAAAGAGGTATTGATGTGGTCCGCAATCGGATTAAGGGCTTCGCGCAGAAGAAAGTGACACTTCCGCCGGGGAAACATAAGGTGGTCATCCTGGATGAAGCTGATAGGTAAGAGTCGTTCAGCAGGATCCGATCTGATGTTCGCTAATAATGGATTGTAAAGTATGACGCCCGGTGCGCAGCAGGCTCTGCGTCGTACAATGGAAATCTACTCGTCGACTACCCGATTTGCTTTTGCCTGCAACCAGTCCAACAAGATCATCGAGCCTATTCAGTCGCGCTGTGCTATCCTCCGGTATGCGCGACTGACGGACGCACAGGTCGTCAAGCGTCTCATGCAAATCTGCGAGGCGGAGAAGATCGAGCACTCCGAGGATGGAATTGCGGCCCTGGTCTTCAGCGCGGAGGGTGATATGCGCCAGGCCATCAATAACCTGCAGAGTACCTGGTCCGGCTTTGGGTTCGTCAGCGGAGACAATGTGTTTCGCGTGGTCGACAGTCCGCACCCGGTCAAGGTGCAGGCTATGCTCAAGGCCTGCTGGGAGGGCAAAGTCGATGTGGCGCTGGAGACATTGAACGAGCTGTGGTAAGTGAACGTATCTCTCCATTGTTTATGGATATTTTTTGAACATTTCCACAGGAACCTGGGGTATTCCTCCCACGACATCATCAGTACCATGTTCCGCGTCACCAAGACCATTCCCACCCTCTCAGAGCACTCCAAGCTAGAGTTCATCCGCGAGATTGGCTTCACCCACATGCGCATCCTAGATGGTGTGCAGTCGCTGCTCCAACTGAGCGGCTGTGTAGCCAAGCTCTGCAAGATCAACATGAAGCCCGAGCTCTTTGAACCCCCGAAGGCTTGATTTGCTCCGGTTCTCTTTGCATATGTATTCCCCTGGCGTTCATTGGTGTATGTGAATGAAGTTACGTCTTGACAAAATCAAAAGCTATCTACCGCTATTCGCAACATGGTTCTTCCAGACATTTTCAATGACAGTAGTAGCCCCCAGCACCTTCTCCTCCTCGAGCTTCTTACCGATAACCTGCAAGTTCACCGGATACCCATCCACTTTCTCTACATCATAAAGACCCCAATTCCACTCATCCAGTGCGTTCCTTGGTTTATAGGGCGCGGAGTCGGAAGGCAAGCAGTCCTTCTCAGCTCTCACAAGATCCACCGGGAATGTGATAGCAGTATAATCAAGCAGATTCCAAATCTTGGTATATCCCACCCACCGAATCTTACGATGCGGAACACTCGTATGCGGCAACGTCGGACTGAGAAGGACATCCACTTTCTTGCCCGAAGGAGACCGGACGCTGTTCCACTTATCCAGGTATTGTTTCTGCAGCTTAACCTTGCGCTTATTCAACTGCCAATATTCCCACACCGAAATTGCCTTGCCGCGATTCACCAGTTGCTGGACGTGAGGGATCATGGGCTCGGATGCCTGGCTAATATCGTGCCGGATATCCTCGCCCCCGTCCACGGTATAATACAAATCCATCAACTTGATATATTCTTGGTGGTCTGAAGTATCCCATGTCACGACTTCGTAGCCGTAATTCTTCAGTGCCGTGGATAGTTCGTCCAATGCCCTCGCTATGGGAGGATGGACTCTGACGACGCCGTCGTCGGGGATGAGACCTATGACTAGTGGCCGCGATTGTATCTCCTGGAATGCATGTTCATTCCATGGCAATGGCACACATCGCGGATCCAGTTCCCAAGGCCGTGCATCTGCTAGCAGACGGCTGATGTAGCAGATAGACGAGAGGTCTCGGGCCTGCGGTCCAACGGATGATGGAACATGTTCCTGGCCATCAGTGGACACGGGCACCCCGTAATAGGGAAGCCTGCTACTCTGTGGGCTTCGTTAGGATGTGCATTTCGTGGAGTAACAATGAGACTTACGCTCGGCTTGAAGCCGTATAATCCAATCGTAGCTTGCGGGATGCGCGTACTTCCTCCAATGTCAGTCCCGAAACCAACCAGTGAGCCATGCAGCGCGAGCAATGCGCTTTCGCCGCCGGTTGAGCCGCCAGGTGTGAATTCCGGGTTTCGGGGGTTCGTTGTAAGGCCCCAGAGAGGATTCTCCGTTTCAGCCCACTGCACATGAGTCAGTGTTGTATCCTTTGGCTGGGGTTCCGCACGCACCATGATACTCTGCGGCAGGTTCGACTTGGCTATGATGACAGCGCCCATACTTTTGAGCAGTTGAACGAGGACGGCATCCTCATTCGCGGGATCAAATGATCTGCCGACGTATCCTAGTGTCGTATCTATGCCTTTCACGTTGAATTGGTCTTTCAGCGTGACGGGTATTCCATGCAGGGGACCTTTCAGCTTGCCGGTTGCTTGGAATTCCGCATCGAGTTGTCTAGCTTGTTTCAGGGCGTCTTCAAACATCACTTCCGTGAAGCAATTGGTCTGATATTAAACGTTAGCTGGCTTGAAGTATTTCTGGATTCAAGTACTCACGAGCTGATGAGCTACTACTGCGCTGTACACATTGTCAGACTGGTTCACCGGTTGAATAAACAGCAACAACACAGTTCCCTACCGCTTGATATAGGCCTGGACGACTCCTTCGGCCGTAAATTCACCCTTTTTCAGGCGGTCAAGCAGCTCCGCAATGTTGTCGATGTCCGTGATTGTCTGGATTTTGGGTTCCTGGTCGAGCCGAGTCCGCTCGTCTACCCGGTCAACGCGGGGCAATCGGCTATCCACATCGTCCACTAGGTACGGCGCGAGCAACTGGTCTCTGATCTGGCGTTTTTGGGCGATAATCCTCTTCCATAGAGGGTCGTTGGTCATCTTGAAGATCTAGAATGCAACTACCCACCGGTACCTGGGGGAATGACAAGGAAGAAACACAAATGGTTGTCGAGCTAGCCTCCGCTCGTTAGCCGGAGCCAATCAACTCCGGTGGTTCTAGATGAACATCTATATCGGTAAGCTGCAAGGGTTTCCATGGTCAGCCCGGCCAGCTCTTTAATTGACAGCGTCACTCTTCAGGCCACTGGCATCTTAAATACAACCGCCATTCCCCCAACCCTGAAATTCTTGTCCAACTCTCTTCTCTTTCCTCCACAATGAAGTTCTTTCCCAGATTTGCCCTCCTCGCCAGCCCCGCCACCGCGGCCCCGGTCCAGATGCTCTTCAATCTGGTAACGGCCTCGAACAACAGCCACAACGGCCTGTATCTGTCCACGCAGTCGACCGGTCCGCTGAACAGCAAGGCCGTTTTTCGAGATCCAGTAAACGCAGGCACTTTTTATTTGGATAACCATAGTGTCCGCTTCGAGGCCCATAATGGGGCTCCTTGGGCCATGGCTTTGTTCTCGGGGAGCAATGTCGCGGGGCGTGTTGGAGTGAGCGTGGCGCCATCTTCTGGGAGCTCCGGGTTTGAATTGTCCGATGGGGGTGCTCTGACTACAACGAACAATGATTTCGGTGGATGGCTAGGTATGCTTATTTTGTATAACTATGAGGGAGTACTGACTGGATGATTTTAGTCTGTGAGGATCAAAGCAGCGGCAGTCTTCCGGGCCTTTACTATATCAATAAGAGTGTTGGTGGTGGTCTTCCCGATAGTTGTGATGAGGTTCAACTGGTTGTCAAGTTTAAGACCTCTCCGTAGCGGTATTGTTTACTGGCTGGTTCATGTTTCTAGGCGTAGGAGATAAGATCACAGAACTCAGGGTGCTCAAGAAAAAGGAAGGGAAGCTGCGATATAGTGAGAAGCTTCGCAGGCTTCTACTACTAAACACGCGCATCGAATCTTCGTATAGTCGCATTCTGAGCCTAGACGTAGAGGTAAGCCTTAGTACGCTTAAGGTCAAAATAAGAAAGTAAACATATAGCATGCTCTAATGCAAGCTTAATATTTGGCTTCTTCCCTATAGCTAAGACAGCTTTCTAGCAATTGGCCCTATTATAGTGCTTGCTCATCGAAGATGTTCCTAAGTAAGCCTATCTAGGATGATTAAGCACCTTCCGGCATTGATGGCATATGACCCTAGGCTTTCTATCTTTCTCAAAGGCGACTTAGTCAAAGTTTTTCTAGCACTTCGCTTCTCGTGTTGCATCCTAAGCTATCTGCTTCTTTTTCCCAAGATCGGTCTGAAGCCACTACTGTACGAATTCGTTACCTATTTCTAGTGAGTGAACAATGAATGATCTGATCCGATTAGGGCAGATCCGGGAAAGGCAATTAGGTATTGCTATAGGCTTAGACGAAGGAAGGAAGGTATCTTAACTTCTAGATAGGATTGGGGAACAAAGCTGATTTGGACTATCATTAGCAATATATTCAAGACATCTAAGTGTGGCCCCCCGTAAACAGATGAAAATGTATCAGTGGACTATGACATCGTAAAGACGGTTAGAAGGGAAGACAAACCGGTTTCCTATGTAGTTTAGCAAAGAAACTGGGGTAGTCTGCCTTCTACAAGGATAACTAACCATCTCTATAGAGGCGAGGAGATAGATCACATTTGACGGTCTATAATGATTATTATTAATAAAATCTTAAGCTAATTGGCCGGAGCTGAGGGTCGTGAGGGTCACCCTTACGACCCTTAGACTTCAGGAGGACATAATTAAATTTTGTCGATACATTTTGTTTGATTTGGATATAAAATAAGTATCTAGAGAGTCAATATTATATGCTCAATATAATTAAGTCAAGATTTTGAGAGGGTTTAGGCTAAAACAAAAAGACGTCTAGGTTCTACAGGATTATGGTGCCACTACCTTACACATTCAAAGTATATTTCTGCATTTCATTATATGCGAATTCCACAGACTCTTCACAATGTAGATTACAACGATTTTTAGTCATAAAAAAAGTGTTAGGATAGTATTATTAAGTAAGAAGGCTTACTGCCTCACAACTGCGCACTGATCGCACACATGAACGCATAGATGAGGGGGGTAAGATGCTTGTACATAAATACCTCGCTGGCACCTGAGTTTCAGTGGCCAGCAATCAGTCTTGGAATCATACTGAGTCGCACCCAAAGTTATCCCGCGAGCCTCTATTGCCCGAATCCGTAATACAACCAGCGCAGCGTATCGTGAGACAGCCCTGACATAGATTTACAGCTCTAGATACATAAATTTCGTAGAGGAGTAGTTAGAAGGCCCTATAAATGGTAGATGCGACTAGAACAGCTATAAAAAACAGTATTTTAGTAAGGTGGATCAGCAAAATTATACGTCTTGGCATATCCTAAACAGCTTATTTATGCAGAAACTGTAACGGGCCGCGGTCGCGGAGCCAAAATCCCTATATGCGGTACTCCCGTGGCGAGGCCTATCTCCGGAGGTAGTGGTAACCCTATCAAAGTATGTGGTGTCCCTAGCAAAGTATGTGGTGTCCCTATCAATTCCCGTATTTTGTGGCAACCCTGCATTGGTTGAAATCGCCGGAGTATGGATCTCGTGCGCTTTCGCATCCCCCTTGATCGGTCACAGCCAACTTGACCCTTGTGAGGTTTTTGGCTCGCAAGCTATGAGTCCCTTGCTTCCTTCATGTACGTAAAAAGATGTAAAGTTGGTTAGTTTGTGTTTCATGTCATTAACGTCCCCTTGCTGAAGTTGGATTCTAAACCACAACCAACTAGGCTGGGTACTATTGATGCGAATGCAAATTATTAGATCAGACGATCGTGAGAAACTGAGTCAGAAATGGGCCCTCCAGTTTTGACATATTGCCAAACGTGGCGCCCGCTCCCATTGATACATGACTGAGGTAGCACTGGAAGATCTTTGCTAATGGCACAGGACACCTTCGAGCCTTCCTCAGTTAAGCTTGCCTTTTGGCTATTGGTCGCCGAGGCCGGAGCACTGTGGGTCAGGACAACAACGAAACTGCTATCCTCATAAACCCACCCTCTGCCGCTTCATTCATGTACCACCACTGGTCTGTAATGTTCAAGACGAAAGAAACTTCCAAAGTCCAGACCAGAGTCCTGATAAGATTTACTGAGACTCATTTCTTCTAGGTTCCCGAGGTCTTCGCGCCCAGAGAAATCTTCCGATTTTCAGGATATATAGTGTACGAGACTGGTCCTCTCGCATCTGAACGATCTCAAAAAAAAAAATGCATAACAGAAATTATAAATCAGGTACCTGTTCAACGAAAATATCTAAGATGAAAGCTTCTCGCCCTCACGTCGAACGCTCACGATAACTTCGGCCAGCTCCTCGATGGTCTGCGCATCACGAGGCACTGTATGTCCCTTGCCATGGTCAAACAAAACTGACGTGTCAGCATCGCACACACTGTACAATGCCATAGCCCCGTGAATGTATGGATCATTGGAACCAATAATATGGCATGTCGGCACATCGATCACGTCTAGGCACTCATCTGCGAGGACGCACTCTACGGAATTTGTGGAGGGATTAAGGCGGGCCGGGGGCCAGCCTGCTAGGAAGACGGCATACTGTATAATGGTCAGTGAAAAGAAGCGTATTTCATCTCTAACACTCACCTTGATGCGCCGCGGCCGGCCTTCTTCCTCGGCTCGACGACGCTCTTCCAGAACAAGCGTAGCCGCTAGCGTTGCGCCTTCGGAGTACCCGAACAAGCCCTGTCGGAGTATTTAGTCTAGCTGAACCACTCTATTGTCAAAAGCCTTACGTCTATCGATGGATCCTCGTCTATGATTTTGAAGATCCTGTCAACAGTGGACTGTACCGCTTGCAGCCTGGGCATTTCCTCCTCCTTGATCAATTTCCGAATCGTGTCTTCAGCTGAGACTCCGGAGGGGAATCCTCTGAGCATCATAACCAAGTTATCCATGGCGCCGACACCATCAAATTCAAAGAATCTGAAGTACGGTGGCGGGCCAAAGTAGCTGGCAAAATTGTCTGGTGGCATGGTGGTGTGACCGCCGTCGATCCATTTGAAGCCCCCCGGCAAAGCCTTTTCCACGGCGTCGACTAGGGTCCCGAGTTGAACTTTGAATTTCTAAGAATGTTAATAGTGCTTTATGAGCCGAGATTGGGGAACTCACTGCGGCGCTGCCGTAGGATCCATGGAGGCAGAGGATTGTCATGGTTGGGGATTGGTTGCCTGAAGACGAGAAGCAAGCCTACTGCATCTTATCAACGGCATCTTCATCTCAATAAGAAGCAGGAATTCAGAGGCGCTGTTACATCAGTCACATAATCGACGTGTCACCAAAACGAAGATCGCTGACGAAGGCACAGCGAAGCAAAACAAGGGACGCGAGGAATGGAGACAATTGGCTGTAGTTTATGCAGGGGGCGGCGAATCACCAAAACACGAAGGGGTGTACTCTTTGCTCGATTTGATGGATTATTCGTCCTGGTCACTACAGTTGACTTCGACCCACGATATGTGACCCGGGAAATCCAAATTTCGCAGCACCCCGAGGCCATAAACTATCCTTTTTTTTTTTTTTTTTTTTTTTCCTTTCCTTTTCTTTCTCCAATTGTCAGAGACGGTTATATCAGACTTCTGTCACTGCTGCTTGACTTCTCTTTTTGATCTTGTCCTCGACTGCTCGCTGAAAGAAATATCCAGTGGTAAAATACCATCACCCTTGCGGCTCCAGTCCACCGAAGTCTGAGCACATAATCACAGTCTCTGTACATCGAGCAACTCCTCTCATTTCTTCCTTTTCATTCCTCTTCTCGCCCTAAAATACATATTCTTCATCATGGCAACAGAAGATAAACCACGTCTGACACCCATTGCCATTGTCGGCATGTCCTGCCGTCTGTCGGGAAATGTCTCAACTCTCGACGACTTTTGGACTCTGGTCTCACGCTCGCGAGATGGGTGGTGCCCAAATCCACAAGAAAGATTCAATAGCGATGTATTCCATCATCCGAACCCGCAAAAAAAGGGTTGTTTCAATCAGAAAGGTGGCTATTTCATGAAAAAGGACTTTGCGCAATTCGACGCACCTTTTTTCCAGATCTCCGAGCAGGAGGCCACGGCAATGGGTAAGTTTATTTCTTGACGTTTTCTTTTATTGTATTCTTTTAACAGTGAATAGACCCGCAGCAAAGGCAGCTACTAGAGTGTACATATGAAGCGCTTGAAAATGCGGGCATCCCCAAAGGGTCTATCTCAGGCCGCAACATGGGTGTTTTTGTCGGCGCAAAAACATCAGATTATCGCCTGGGACTTCTCAGGGACTTGGACCAGCTTCCGATGTTTGAAACAACAGGAAACCACCAGTCCATTCAAGCAGGGCGCATTTCATACTATTTTGATCTCCGAGGACCGTCTCTTGCGATCGACACAGCATGCTCATCCAGCTTGTCAGCATTGCATTTAGCAGTGCAGAGCATTCGGGCTGGCGAGTCCGACTCTGCAATTGTCGCTGGGTGCAATTTGTACTTGGAGCCTGATGTCTCTGTTTCCATGTCTATGCTTGGGTAAGTTCTCTGAAATGGATGTCTTGGGGTGATGCTAATCTTGAAAGTCTGTTCAATGATGAAGGAAAGACTTATGCATTTGATCACCGCGCCAACTCGGGGTTTGCCCGTGGGGAGGGCGTTGGGTGTCTGATCCTTAAACCTTTAGACCAAGCCGTCAAGGATAATGACCAGGTTTATTCCATCATTGTAAACACTGGAATTAATCAAGACGGCAAAACAATTGGTAACTATCGCTCTCGAAGTTTCTGCAACCTTAAATTGACGCTCTATACAAGGAATGACAAACCCGAGTGGCGACGCTCAAGAAAGTCTCATTCGTGATGTCTACAACCGTGCAGGAATCTCTCCTGAAGATACTGGCTTCGTCGAGGCTCACGGCACGGGAACTAAAGTCGGTGATCCCATTGAAGCAAACACCATCCACCGTGTCTTCAGCTCTGGCCGGACCAAGAGATGCCCACTCTACATGGGCTCTGTCAAAACCAACTTTGGTCATTTAGAAAACGCAAGCGGCATAATCTCCATTATTAAAGCGTCATTGATGCTGAAGAAGGGCTTGATTCTGCCAAACACCAATTTCGAGAAGGCCAATGAAGCGATGCCCTTGGACGATGAGAAGATCAAAGTCCCAACGACCATTCGGCCTTGGCCAAGGAACAAACGTTTTGTCAGCGTCAACAACTTTGGATTCGGTGGCTCTAATGGCCATGTTGTGCTAGAAAGGCCGCCTTTCTCCGTCTTCGAGACGTCCCAAGGAAATCAAGAGGACGAGATCCCGCGACTATTTGTCTTATCCGCCAACCAGGAAACAGGAACCAAGCACATAGCGGCTAAGCTCGGTGTCTTTGTTGAACAACATCCAGAGGTTTTCCAGAAACGCCTGATCCGAGACATCGTTTATACGCTCGGTGAGCGCAGAACACATCTTCCGTGGCGAATGGCAATCACTGCGACGTCTTGCAACGAGCTTGCAGCTTTGCTTAATGATGCGGATGCTATCCCGAAGCGAGCATCTATAGATTCCAAGCTTGCCTTTGTGTACACTGGTCAAGGTGCACAATGGCCTCAGATGGGAAGAGAACTCACGATCAGCCACCCTGTCTTCGCGGAAACCATCAAAATTGCATCAACATGCCTCGAAAAACTTGGGGCAACCTTTTCGCTGATTGAGGAGCTTTCAAAGACCAAAGACAACTCGATCGTGAATCAAGCACACGTCTCCCAGCCAGTTTGCACGGCAGTCCAGATCGGCCTCACGGATCTGTTATCCTCTTGGGGCATTCGGCCTTCCATGGTGACGGGCCATTCAAGCGGTGAAATCGCAGCTGCATACGCGGCGGGCGCAATTAATATAGAGGCTGCAATGGCCATTGCCTATCACCGGGGCCAAGTGGCAAGCAACATCAAAGTCAAGTTTCCTAAACTACGTGGAGCAATGCTTGCAGTCGGCACCAGCCCGCAAGAAGCCAAGAATATAATCAAGTCACTTGATCTCAACGGAGTCACTGTGGCATGCGAAAACTCGCCAAACTCAATCACCGCGTCCGGTGACGAAGCTGCCTTGGGGATATTTGCGGCTGAACTCGGCACTTTGGGAATTTTCACTCGCAAGCTTCATGTAGATGTCGCATACCACTCAACCCATATGAAGCTTGTCGAAGTTGACTATATCACCGCTATCAAAGACATCACTCCAAAGAAAGTTAGTGGGGTGGAGGTCTACTCCTCGCTTTTAGGCGGCAAGTTGGACTCCACGCTCGCACTGGGCCCGTCGTACTGGGTCGAGAACTTGACTAAGCCCGTCCGTTTCTCCTCGGCTCTGAAAGCCCTCTATACAGAAACCAAGCCAGATGCAGTGGTGGAGATCGGTCCCCACTCTGCTCTCAAGGGGCCCATCCAGGATATTCTCAAGGGGATTAGCCAGCAAGCAGCATCGGAGGTGAAATACTTTCCATCGCTGCTTCGCAACCAAAATGCAACAACTGCAGCTCTCAGACTAGCGGGAAACTTATTTACGCTTGGATGTAGTCTCAACTTCGAGGCTGTGAACCAAACCAGTGCCAGCCCACAAAAACCAGCCGTGATCTCCGAATTTTCTCCCTATCCATGGTCTGACCACAAATACTGGTTCGATTCGCGAACGGGGAAACAACATCGGCTGAAGCCATTTGCCCGGCATGACCTGTTGGGGACACTTGAAGATTCATACAGTGACGCCGAACCAACCTGGCGCAATGTGCTCTCCTTTGACGACGTACCCTGGCTTCGAGACCACCGAATGCAGTCTTTAACCACTTTTCCGCTGGCTGGCTATCTGTGCATGGCCATTGAGGCAGCATTCCAGAGAGCTCAATTGTGCGGGATACAAAAGCACAATATTTTTGGATTTCGACTTCGGGAGATTCAAGCTTCCAAGGCGCTAATTCTTGATGATGGTGGCCAGTATGAGACACATGTCTCTATGAAGGCATACTCACAAGGAACGCGATCATACTCGAATGATTGGGACGAGTTCCGTATCGCGTCTCGGACCTCATCCCGTGGCTGGGAAGAGCACTGTCGCGGACTGATCAAGATCAATAAAGCTCGATCTGTAAATTCAGTCAATGATGGCCGCCTCCAAAGCGCAGTCGCTCGCAAAAAAGCAGTCGATGTTGCTTCTAGCGATGCGATTTCGTTGGATAAGTTCTACACTGAGCTTGAAGCCCATGGAGCCAGCTACCGCTCTGCATTCCGATATCCCGATGACTGCAAGCTCAAACATTACGATGAATATTCATCTTGCAATGTCGCCGTCCCAGATACGGTATCCGCGATGCCGTATTCTCACGAAACAGAATCAATCCTTCACCCTGTGTTTGCAGATCTCATGATCCAGCTCCCCTTCGCAGTTCTCGGAGCCGGTCGAGGCAAGATGGGCTCTCTTTACATACCATCTGCTATCAAAGAAGTTGATGTCAACTGCTTACTTCCCCACACACCCGGCGAGAAGTTTCAACTTGTGGCACATGGACGTCCCGACTTTGATAATCCCGGGCCCGTCGACTTTTCCATCGATGCCTGGGCTGTCCATGGCACTGAGCCAGTTGCCAAGCTGAATGGCGTTAGAATGACACCCGTGAATAGCGACGCCGGCAATGATCAGATCATCCGAGCCCTGTGCTATAATCTAGAGTGGGAGGTCTTCAAAGGAGCCAACACGGATGCTTGGATTCAAAATGGCACCGAGTGCAATGGAACGACGAAACTTATCTCCATGTGTCGAGACTCTGAGCATGAAAATGGCATTCACAACGGGCTGACAGAGCAAAATATCACTTTCAATGGTCACCACACTAACAATGAATTCAACGGCAAACTTGAGTTTAAAGATGTCTTCAACGGCCAAACCAATGGCCACGCAACGAGGGACCTCGCGAGTTCAGAGCACAAAAGTCTCGAAAACGCATCTGCAGTACGAATAACCCCCAAGGCCAGCGGAGAATGTCCTAATCTGAATGGAATCAACGGTCACGCTGCGTCTACGCTCCACCTATTGGGGAGTATCAAAGAGACTGTCACCCTCATCACCGACAAACATGACTGTGATCCTCTCATTGCCGCACTCGTAAAACTCTTCGCACTTCAATCTGGATGTAAACCCGCCGTCTCGCCATTTTCCCGTGTTGAGATCCTGCCTTCGGCCCGTTATATCTGTCTGACTGAGCTCGACACTCCTTTGCTCCATGGAATGTCAGCGAATACTTTCAATCGAGTCAAGAAACTACTGACTACCTGCGCTTCAATCCTTTGGGTCACCTCCGGTGCTTACTGCTCTGCAAGCCACCCCGAGAAGAATATTAGTCAGGGACTTCTGCGCACCGTTCGGTCTGAGATCAACAATGGAGCAGCTACACTAGACCTGGATCCGAACTCTGACCTTAACCCTTCCGATCACGCCCATTTGGTTCTTTCTGCTTTCAGAGCATCGTGCCTTCCACAGAATCCCGAAAAGGCAGTGGACTACGAATTCGCAGAACAAAATGGCCGTCTTGTTGTTCCGCGAGTTGTCAAGCAAGAAAGGCTGAATCTCGATATTTTCCGTTCGACGCAGTCGTCAGCGCCGTATCTTCAAGAGTTTTCCCAACCCAGTCGACGATTAAAGGTCGCTGTTGGAACTTTTGGTGCACTGGACTCGCTATACTGGAAAGATGAGCCCGAGTTACCTCTAATCAGCAACGAGGTCGAAATCAAGGTTGCCTATACCGGAGTGAACTTCAAGGACGTTATGATTGCCATGGGTCAGGTCTCCAGCCCTTATATTGGCATCGAGTGCAGCGGTATCGTTGCTCGTGTTGGCTCTGGTGTCGCCGATGTGAAGGTTGGTGATCGTGTCTGTGCCATGTCTCTTGGGGCGTATGGCACATACAGCCGTTGCCCTGCTACGAGTGTTGCTGTCATTCCAGAGAATATGGGATTTGACGTTGCGGCGTCTATCCCCGTGGTGTATAGTACGGCGTACTACGCCATATTCGAGATTGCACGCATGGAGCCGGGCGAGAGCATCCTTATCCATGCAGCTTCAGGCGGTGTCGGTCAAGCAGCGATTCAACTTGCACAAACGCTTGGAGCTGAGATATTTGCGACTGTTGGCAGCTCCCAGAAGAAGCAGTTTCTCATCGATACCTATGGAATCCGTGAGGATCGCATTTTCTACAGCCGAGATACCGACTTTGGGCCAGGTATTAGGGAAGCCACCCGTGGCAAGGGTATCGATGTAGTGCTCAACTCCCTGGCGGGTGATCTCCTGCACGAGTCATGGCAGTGTCTGGCCTCCTTTGGGCGGTTCATCGAGATTGGCAAGCGAGATATTACGTCGAACACTCGCCTTGAGATGGCGAAGTTTGAACAGAATTGTACTTTCAGCTCCATCGACTTGACACTCCTTGCTGCGGAGCGACCAAAGATCATAAGCCGTGTATTGATCGCGGTGATGAGGATGCTGACCGACCAAACAGTAAAGCCCATTGGACCAATCTCGATAGTGGGCATCGGAGAAACCGAGACTGCGCTGCGAAATTTGCAGAGTGGAAAGAGCACGGGTAAGGTGGTCGTGGATCATTTGGTGAACCAGGAGGTCAAAGTATGTGTCAACCCGATTTTAACTGCGCGTCTCTTTCCTCCTCTCTAACCCGATATTAAATTAGGCGATACATCCCCCTCCATCAGAAATACTCCGAGGAGATGCAACGTACTTGATCATCGGTGGCACGGGAGGAATTGGCCAGGCCATTACCAAACACATGGTGGAGCGCGGAGCACGGCACATAATTCTGTTGTCACGGAGTGGCAAGATGACTGATGAATTAAGTCGCTTGGTTTCTGAGAGCCAGGTAGCCGGTGCTTCCGTTTACATTAAACGATGCGATTGCGGAGATCAATCCTCTGTCCATGCGCTGATGAGAGACGTCCAAGAGACAATGCCTCCGGTGCGAGGCCTGATTCACGCTGCAATGGTGCTCAGAGTAAGTCTCTCTCTCTATATGCCAAGAAGACCTCATGCTAATAAAAACAGGACGTCCTTTTTGAGCAAATGACCTTCGAGGATTACGATTCCGTGATTCGGTCCAAGGTCTATGGTGCATGGAACTTTCACAACGCCTTTCTTAACACACCCCTCGACTTCTTCGTTATGCTATCGTCGGTGGCTGGTATCGTTGGTAACAAGGGTCAAGCGGCTTATTCCGGTGCCAATACGTACCTCGACGCACTGGCACATTTCCGTCGCCGCAATGGCCTGAAAGCGTCATCCCTCAATCTGGCAGCCGTGCAGGGTGTTGGTTACTTGGCTGAGGATTCCGCGAAGCTGTCACAGGTCATGAAGAACCTGTCTGGCAGCACTATGGATAAGGCTGAGGTTCTGGCTCTGGTGGAGGGTGCTATGCTGGGCAAGTGTGGCAGCCAGTGCATTACCGGATTGCACTTTGAGGATTCATTTTCGCTGCCTTACTGGGCATCTGACGCCAAGTTCTCGAATCTCCGCTATGCGGCGCTTGCCGAGGCAGCAGACTCAAAGACCTCATCTTCTTCTACAGAGTCACAAATTGCACACCGAATGCAGAAAGCCTCTTCTCTGGATGAGGCGCAGGAAGTGGTAATGGCTGGTTTGCGGGAAAAACTAGCTGCTATACTCATGGTGCCTGCTCAGACTCTCGAGTCACAGCAAGCTTTCACATCAATCACAGCAGCGGGATTGGACTCCCTCAATGCGATTGAATTTCGAAATTGGATAGGCAAGGAGCTCCAGGCTCACCTTCAAGTTCTGGAGCTGTTAACCAGTGGCGGTATGAAAGATCTGGCGTCTTTGATTTTGCGGAAGACGAGACTAAGCGGTACTTGGTCGGAAGAGGGATCGAAGTAAATTTTACATTATTTCATGTGTTGTAAGTCTACGGGAGAAATATTCGATACTTTTTTGGTACCTGGATTCAATGGGGCATAACGTAACGAGGTATTATTTGCTGTTTGACTATTGTCGCAGACAGTCTAGAGACTTTTTGGGCATATGGAAAACCGTCATACCTCGCTGTACACCGTCTTCTTGCATGTAGAAGGCTTTATTCACAACTCCCTGCGACTTCCACCCTTTGGTAGCGGATCACAGTTTTCTTGTTGAGAATCAGCCTTCTTCCACGCTGAGGACTCCTGCCAAATACTATCATGACCGTGTACATTCAGGCCCTTGCCCGGGAGAAACAGGTCCACACTGTTCTTGTATTCCAATCAGTTGCTCTGTTGAAGGGTATAAGTACTCTTCCATTCAGGGGTTATTTCCCCTGTCTCCAATCTCCTAATAACACTCCTTTTGGCTACCCTATATCGCCCGTACGGACGGACCGCTCCCGTACGGTCCAACCTCTCTCCTCCCTCAACATTTCTAACCCGAAGAATGATGCCTTCACAGACGGATGGATTGATGGATTATATCATTTACCCTGCATATCGCGCTGGATTTCGCTGGGATTTTTCTTATGTGTTAATGTGTTTCTCATATACCAGGAGCACCAGCTGAGATACTCGGCTCCGGATGAAGACGCAATGCTATATGGCGCATCTTGGTTTTTGATGTTAAGGGTCGGTGGATAAAATCCGGCTGGTTCCATGCTTTTTTCTTTCTTTTCCCCCTGGGTTGTAATGTGGGACAGTTTCCTAATCGGTGAATACGCTGTACCCTCAGGTGTCGATGCCTAATCCCACCTAGTGCCTACGGTCTTACTACTTTCTTATACTGCACTCTTCAAACCTGACAATATCCTCTGCCTTCTGGCTAACAATAACGCTCGAATTTCCTAGAAGGGACTCCATCTTTGATCTCTTCTCGACCGTTATCAAACGGTCTCTCAAGGTCCAAATGTCACAACATTATAAAACATCTAGAAACGCATGCTCGCCTCCATGGTCTCCATCAGAGCGGCCGTCTTTGCACACACCTTTCGACATTCTTCACCCACACCGTTTTCTTCCTCTGCGTTTTTCTTGAACCCGTTCTTCCACCTCCGCCACCTCCCCAGAGAAAACATATAATAACCATCTCTCAAGCGATTATAGCTGTCGTGCCCCATATCCCCTGGCACCGGACATAGACATCGCTTGAACATGCTTTGTCCATCCCAGAGAATGTACTGGGCTGCAGCAATGATCTCCTGGTCTCGCTCCCCCTCGAAGTTGGAGAAGTCTCTGAAATTCGAGGGATCTATACCTCTTTCAAATGTGTCACGCAAGGTCTCAAGGGCCCATTCTGGCTCTTTGGGCCCAACACCTCTGGATTGTGCATGAGCAAGGAAGGCATTGAAGTTTGGCCAGGCTTGAGGGTCTTCTTCGGATGGACCTATTTACTAGCTGTTAAGAGAGGTTCTTCTTACTCAAAGAGTTTAGGGTCGACGAACCAACGCGCTGGTGCATTACTTCCAATAAGTAATACTCAACGAATGCAAACTCCTATGATTGCCCTGTTAGCTGTACGAAAAGGACCCAGGAACAATTGTGGACAGACATCGTCAAGTAGCTTCCAGGTGAATCTACTGTGGCAAGAGAACTCTTCCATAATGCGAGCGAGCTTGATATGTGATGGATGATAATATGGTATCTGCTCTGCAAGTTCCAGAACTACGTTGATGATCGTCATGACCTCTTGGTCGTTGTCGGCTTTGGGTACAAGAGCGAGGAGTGACTCCACTGCCGAATCATGAGAAGTTTTTGTGTCCGGTTGGAGGTACTCGTTGAAAATTTGGAAAGCGTCGTAGGTTTGGGCGAGGGAAGGCTCTTTAATTTCACTAGGCTGATCTAGAGGCCTTCCAAGTCCATCGGGCTCGAGTTTGAACTTGAGAGCGGACATGATGAATCTAGGAGGTGAAGGTGTTGAGCTCAGGGTTAAGAAAGTGGGAGATTCCAGGTTGGGGAGGGCGGGAAGCGACGATGAAATAAGATCGATTAATCGACTATTATTAGTTTTGGCGCCGCGGCTCATGGCGGCGGCAACCCAAACAAGATCGGCGATATTTACCACCAGTTTTTGGGTACGGGATCAACAATATCCAATCATTAACCGCTATCGTCAAGCGCCTAGGATTTGAAACAGAGTCCGGTGGCCTGTGTTTCAAGAAACCATGGCTATCCTCGGAATAATAGGATAGGAGTAGCCGATTCTCAATCGAACCGGCGCGGCTATCCCGCATCTAAATTTCCGTGTCTATTCTAGGTTCGCCCACCGTCAACATCTACTTTAATATGTACAGTAGAAATGGCTATAAAAATTGAGGACGTATCGTCTTTATCGGATTTTATTGTCTGCTCGACTTACAAAATCTCTGGGCTCATCATTATGGGCATCTTTTCCCTTTCTCATAGGCCTCGGGAGCCTGAACCCCCACGGCTCAGACACCCTCCTCAGGCAGCCTCATATGGAGTTATCGACCCGAGATTCAATAAAGTCAATGCACAGTGGCCAAAGAGTAAACGCACAGTAACAGAGCCAATGCAAGTCGCACGGCCAACGGATCCACGCACAGCGATGGTCAGTATTGATTCGATGAAAAGATACAACTCAATGTACTCATGAGAGTACATATTCAGGGCTATAATGTCTCTCGGCCAGGCAAGGGCACTTTCCAAGAGGGCAACGTACAGGGGCCCCATCACATCCGAATGCGACCCAGTGTTGAAGGTCTTCTTCACCAGCCTGGTGCTATTATAACCGACCGGACCTGGGACAGCAGAAATAAAAAACGACCGAAACACTTCCAAAATATGGAAGGATTGCTTCCATATGGAAGATATGTCGAGTTTCCCACCATGCCATACCCCTACCAAGACCAGAACAGAAAGGGCCAGGCTAGAGACCCCAGAAGTGGATTGCCAGTGTCGCCTGAATTTACCCGCACCATTACCGATCACAACAAGAACATACAAGGGGTTCTCTATCATCCTTCAGGTTATTTAGGCGCCTTCGAAAAATCCCAAGAAATCTACAAGTCCCGGACCTGGGATGAGGCTGGTTGGAATTGATTTGCACGTATCGATATTCTGGAAATATCGGATATCTACTTCCTTTCATGTATGTTGATCTGACTTCTATTTCAATAACTGTCCCTATCTCTTGCTGGCTGTCTTCTTGGGTGTGTATCATTCTTTCAATTTCCTGTTTCTCTCCTTTCACTTGTCATTTGATTTGCTGTCATGACTCGATAGTCATCATATCTGAGTCCACCTTTGTCTATCTATATATCGATACACGTTCCTCTGTCCATCTAGCGGAAGGGTGTTATTCTTGTGGAATTATGGAACAACCTCATCAATAGTACAGACGTCGTCAGAGGAGATATCATATTCGATGAACTATTTATTTTACATCAGGACCATCACTTTTGGCCTGCTCCTCTGCTTCGCGTCGCCGCAAATACCCATCCCGTTCAGCTCTTTTTGCCGCAGCCTTGAGAGCCCTTTTATGTCCATGGCCACGCATGTGAATCTGCCACTGCTCTTCTCCGGTCATAGTCTTGCGACACACATCACAGGTGAAGCACTTCAACGGCTCATCAGTATCTTTTGCTCGCATCTGTTCCTCCCTAGCTCCCAGAACAGTGCTCGCCAGCTCTGACAGGGATTTGGGATCCGGGGTAGGCTGGTTGTCGAGCATTGATTGGACAATGTTCTCCGATGGTTGGGCAATACATTTCTCCCACTCACTGACATCGGTGCTATCCAGAAGGTAGAGACGATGCATCACGCCGGCTTCGGATAGGGCGCGCCAGAGCTTGTTTCGGATCCATTTGACTTGTGATACGCCGTACTGGCGAGTGGCAATTCGGATGCACTCGATACAGGACCTTTTTGTGTCTTCCAGGTCCTTTTCGCTGGCATCTGGTTGGCGGAGAGCCGCGAAGTAAGGCGCCAGTTCCTTGAATCCGATCGATACCCAGACCCCCCGTGTCTGGTCGATCGTGATGCCCTGTGATTCTTTATCGTGAAGATAGTCGGACATCTTTTGGGCCTCGGACAACAAGCCCTGCTTGACCATATCGTCGACGCGCACATCGAGGCGCGCATTGAGGACTTCCTTCTCCGCATGAACCCAGAAAATGAGCGTGTTCTCAAACCGTAATAATCCTTCATCTTTCATGACAGCTTGCTTCTTCATGAGTTTCTGCTCCGCATAGATCTCAGAAGCCGGTCGTCCCGTCTGAAGATAAATCTCCAATGACCGCCGAATCTTGCGCGTATCCCTTGGATGCCATCGCCCCGCCATAACAGGATCGACCTCCCGGAGTTTCTGTAATTGAATTTCTGGAGACGCGTCGAGAATGGGCCATTTTGCGGAAGTGGATGGGAGGTCTGTAGTTGATGGCTCCTCCGCTTCTTCTCCTTCTTCTTCTTCTCCTTCCTCCGTCTTCTCCTTGTCCACCAGCTGCTCCTTGAACAACACCGCCTGGGTATAATAGTGGGTGCCGCCGACGAGGATGGGAATTTTGCCGCGCAAATGAATATCCTGGATTAATCGGAGTGCCTCCTTTTTAAATGTCCCAATCCGCCACGCCTCGGTATCCAGGTCGACACAGCTAATCAGGTGGTGTGGGATGCCATTTCGCTCCTCGTCGGGGATCTGGTTGGTGATGATGGGCAGACCGCGGTACATCTGCATCGCGTCGCCATTGATGATTTCACCGTTGAATCGAGAGGCCAAGTCCACGGCGAGCTGCCTGTACCCATCAGCCATCAACCGCGTGGCTTTCTGAAAAAAAGGTCCCGTCTTACCTTGGACTTGCCCGTGCCCGTCGCCCCGACCACGGCTATGAGCGGAACCATTGCGCGTTGTCTGGTAGATAATCGCAGGGCCGAGAGCATAGGGATGGCATGCGCATCTTGTCTTTGGATAGTGAAGTGGAAGAAAAAAAAGAGAGAGAACGAGGGTTGGTTATTATCGGTTATCGCAGCTCACTATCGGCCTTACCTCATCCCATCTGCCTTTCGCTCCCTTTCCCTGACTCACCCACCTTCTCTTCATCCACACCTCAACAAATGGCCGAAACCGACAAGGAACCCTCGATTGAGGTTAGAGACCTCTCCTACAAATTCCAGGATGGCTCAGACGGTCTGGAAAACGTGACTCTGGATCTGCCCGCTGGGAGCCGGACTTTGCTCATCGGCGGTAACCGCCACATCCTTCGATAATATTGGCAAAGAGCTAACCTATCTGCACAGCAAATGGCGCTGGCAAGACCACCCTCCTCCGCCTGGTGTCGGGGAAGCGTCTCGCGCCCTCCAACACCGTCGCCGTGGGCGGCAACGACCCCTTCAAGCACGGCCTCGATGGCGTCACCTACCTAGGCGTGGAGTGGGTGCTCAACAGCATCGTCCGCACGGATATTGACGTGCCGACGCTCCTAGCTTCGGTTGGTGGCAACGCCTACCCTGAGCGACGGGATGAGCTGGTCGAAATTCTCGACATTGACCTCCGCTGGCGCATGCATGCCGTTTCCGACGGCGAACGGCGCCGTGTCCAGCTGGCAATGGGATTGCTGCGGCCCTGGAAGGTTCTCCTTCTTGACGAGATCACCGTCGACCTAGACCTGCTGTCTCGGAGCAACTTCCTTGCGTTCTTGAAGCGCGAGACCGCGTCTCGTCCTTGCACTATTGTTTATGCTACGCATATCCTGGACAATCTCGCCCAATGGCCTACACATCTAGTGCACATGCACCTGGGTAAGGTTAAGGCGTATGGTCCAGTGGAGCAGTTTCATGATCAGGTGCCGCAGTGGACTTCGGAGAATAGCCGGCTGGGTGAGCTGGTGCTCAAGTGGCTCAAGGAGGATCTCGAATCGAGAGGACCCCGGAATGGCCGCGGGAATGAGGCCAAGACCTATCAATCCCTTGAGGGGATTGGTGGTTACGGCTTAGAGAAGCACGATTAAGAGAAAGTGTTTTATTTTTCTTTTTGTGTTTTGTTTGCTGAGCGAGGAGTCTTTTAACACGTTATGCCGTTTCAACAATTTCTGGGTTCAACCACATGGCATATTGGGGGTTTCTGTTTTACGGTCAGGGATGGGCATCTAGACCTCTTGGATGGGTCGATTCAACATTTGCAGGAGTTCGTTTTTGCTTTCTCAACCATCATCATTCGTTTTTGTATATACCGATATCTCATGACAACATGTTCGAGATACTATATATCCTGGCAGAGGTATCCTCACTTGCCACTGCAAGCTCAAACTTACTCCTACCGTCAACTTCCTTCACAGGCACTGGCCGCCATGATAATGAAGTGATTGTCTTCGAAGGCGAAAGATTCTGAGCAACAGTCACGATGTGTTGACATTCCAGACGGTCGCTCGCAACGCGGTGGATGGATATCGTTCCATTATCTTCGCCTACTGCGAGCACGAATGTGCTCTTGAAGATAACGGGCAAGAAAGAAATTGCACTGACTGCGGACGTCACAGCCACAGTCGACTTGCAACTGAATGTATCACCGGTCTTCTCCCAGATCTTGACTGACTTGTCTCGCCCAGCAGTAGCAAAGATAGGGGTCTTAGCATACGGTGCCCAGGCTGCTCCCAGGATCATTCGGGAGTGGCCTTTCGGGTTCGAAGCGCAGACAGTGAAAGTTTTCGGTTCTTGTTCACTCCGTTGGAATACGACCCACTGCCGATCTCGCCCAACACTGAGAAGGTAGCGGTCATCTTGAGAGAATGCGAGGTCCGTAATAGTCAATGCGTGAGAGGCCAGCGAAGGTTTGATCTCGTGCCAGTCTGACGTATCGTACAGACGAATCACCGCGTGGTCGACTGAGCTCGCCTTGCAGGCGGTAGCAATAAGAGTTCGGTCATGACTGACAGCCAC